CCCTGGGTTCCCAGGTAAGTCTCCATACCGCGATCGCCGGCAACCAGGTAAGTACAAAAGATTGCAGGGCGTTCTATGCCGCCCTGCGGCGTTTAGAGCCATCTAAATAAGGACGGCATAGAAGGCCCTGCGGTCTTAAGGGGTTAAACAAGAAAAAAATTATTTTAAATCTCACAAGTTTAAAAAACCTAAATCATTTAAACCACCTAGGGACAAAGTGACCAGAGTATTAATCCATCGAGACTCTGAATTTAATAACTAATTCTGGATTGATTGTCACAACAAGGAGGAATCAATTCTAATCACACAACCCACTCACACTAACCTGGTGATACATATAAAAATCGAAGGCTACAGACTTCCTAGAATTAAATGCTCTGCTTCCTGACCGCACCTTAAGGCTCCTGGATGTTTGGCCAACAGACTGCAACCCACAGGGACAAGATAAAAAATACACCACGTGAGTAGGATTGCAAGCAATCGTGTGGGTTTCTTGGCATTAAAGGGACACTATAGTCACCAGAACAACTACAGCTTATTGAATTTGTTCTGGTGAGTAGAATCATTACCTTCAGGCTTTTTGCTGTAAACACGGTCTTTTCAGAGAAAATGCAGTGTTTAAATTACAGCCTAGTGATAACTTCACTGGCCACTCCTTAGATGACTGTTAGAGATCCTTCCTGTGTCATGGCTGCTTAAAATGCATCCAAACATTCAGTATCTCCTCCATCTGCATGCAGACACCGAACTTTCCTCATAGAGATTCATAGATTCAATTCATCTCTATAAGGAGATGCTAATTGGCCAGGGCTGTGTTTGAATCATGCTGGCTCTGCCCCTGATCTGCCTCCTTGTCAGTATCAGCCAATCCTATAGGGAAGCACTGTGATTGGATCAGGCCACCACTTCTGATGATGTCAGCAGACTGCTTGTTTTTTTTTAGGCAAACAGCATGCAGAGTTACAGCTTCTGGCTTGAAAACAGTAAGATTTTGCTATATTTATGGAGGCATGGGGGGCCCAGGGGGACTAGATGGTGGTCAGGAATACACTATAGGGTCAAAAATACATGTTTGCGTTCCTGACCCTATAGTGATCCTTTAATGGATAAAGTGAAAGTCCATACCACATGCCATTGTTAATTATTACTAATATCAATAATTGCAATATAAGCAGAACTGAACTCAATATAAAATATATTATTCTCCATTCCACACCCTTCATTTATTCCACCCAAATTACTCTTTTTAGAACTTCTGAGTTTACCCATATTGCCACAATGTACACGATCGGAATAATCCCTGTTTGGAACACTTTCTACCGTTTCCAGATCATTTATATATTGGTTGGGTCTTAACTGTTTGTAGCTCTCAAAATACTAGTAAATACCATTGAGTATCCAGACTAGTTATTAAAGGGGCGCCATCCAGCCGTACATACGTTTTCCCAGCCGCTTTCTTTCCTTTTTAATGTATTACTAACTAAAAACGTAAGGGACTACATAGGCACTACTTTGTCTTACGTATTTTTCCTACACCTGACTTTCTTAAACACTGGGCGGATCTACAGTGTCCATCACATCAGTTGTCACCAGTGATGGCTGCAGGGAACTGGCTCTGTCTATGTATGACTACATGGTCTTGCTGGATTCTCCATAGACCTCAATGCGCGAGAGTACAGAAGGTCTGCCAGGACCCACTGGAGGAAGGCAGTGGTGACGCAAGGGACAGGTTCAGGTAAGTAGAGCTCACCTTTCTCTGTCTGACTGCGACATCGCCAGTGTGGTCTTTGCAAATTTTGCAAAGTTCCCAGGCTGTGACAGTGCTGCTTTAAGGGGTGAAAAGGGTATGGCGATCACAAAACCTTACAAAATACCTCTGATGTTAACAGTGCTAACAACACACAATGAGGTAAATAATATTATCGACAATTCTTACGTTTTACGATTTTTGATTTTGATAGAGAATCTCTGACTCACCTATAATTTTTTTTAGAAACGGTATCCAAGGAGTCTTGTGCAAAAAGCTTATTTAGTTTATTTTAATTAATAGACTGTCTCTTGAGGAGAGTGGGAGTGTAAGGGCGTGACATATATTAACCAGTGACAGGTAAATATTTTGGCCGTTTGTTGGTCTTTCTCAAGGTGCACTATATCCCTAACATTTGGGGGCATCACATTTTGTCTGGGATCAGGCCCATGGTATTTTATTAACCTTTCAACAGCCCTGCTTCTAGCATTGCTCAGGAACATTTGAGATTCCCTTACACATTAAGCGCAGTACCAGTTGCGTGTATATATTTGATAATTTGAATATACTGCCACACTGTGCCTTTGACCAAACAATTCTATTTGAAGGTGGGGTTTTTTTGTTTCTGTGTGGGATCCCCCCAAAAATTTCAGAAACATAACTGCTTGAGAACTTTCATTTTATTAATAAAAATATGTTTGAATCTTTTTACAAATAATTATTACAACCAGCATGTTACATTAAATACAAAAAATCTGAATCAAAAATGGGCTGTTTTTCCCCAAAGATTGAAAGCACCAGTCGAAAAAAAAAAAGAAGACAGAAAAAAAAAACAAAGAAAACATAATGAGAAGTTTCCCTCTCCAAAACAACACAACAGTCTGAGACCTGTGATGCTTGTCAGAGCCGGAGGGGAAGGAAGATAAAGTGTTACATCCTTTGAATTTCCAAAAACATTAAGAACTGAACAGCATATTTACACAGAATGCCATCGTTACTAGTCTCCATTTACAATGTTTACAGTATCCACATACAAGAAGCAAGAGATTGCACTGAGTACTACAGAGCCCGTAGCGGGCATTTCAATGTCCTATGGCAATCTGTAACTCATCCTCTGAGCAGAACTCCAGGAGGACAATCAGTCACAATCCTAGCGAGAATGGCTTAATAAAACCAGAATTACAAAGTATGATAGTATACAGCATGGCGTAGCCTGACACACTCAATAAGACACTACCATAGACATTTATTGCCCCGTTTTATTTTAAATAGTTTAACGTAATGTAAACGTTAGGTGTAATACAAATGCCAAACAACTGGATGTCCATGTTTCTCTCTATCGATAACCTAGATATAAAATCCATTGAAATCTAGTCGCCTTGCTTTAAAGATTGTTTAATCAGGACCCTCTCTACGAATGATTCAATCCTCCCCAGACTGACTGACAATTGTTTAAACCCTCAGCAAAACCCTTGATTTTAATTAAGTCTCGTGTATTTTTGCTAGAAAAAAAAAACATATTTACAAAAGTGTACATTCTGCTTTAAAATAAAATTGCACAATAAATATTTTTGTCATGGTAGTGTTCCGTTAAGACTATATCAAATGATTTGTATATCTAACAAGGTTCTCTAATCAAATCATACTTTAACGATGTAGGCCAGAGGCTCCCAGGCCAGTTGTGTCAGTATCTCGATTGGAACAGAATTTCGGATCAGTGAAATCCGGGCCTCTGTGTGTGTGGAGGACAGGGCCGGGAATCAGTGACCTTGACGGCACATGGTTAGAGGTTTTAGTTACTAGTGGTTGTCAATGCAAGTGACCTTATTGTGTTAAAGCCAAGGACAACTGTCTCGCCTCATACAATATTTGTTCGGCAAACTGAATACAGTAGTAGCCTTTTCCTAATGGAAGACCTGATAATGTCTGTAGAAGGCCTGTACACAAACACATACACAGAGACTTTACATTAAAGGACTTAGCGTGAGGACTCACAGTCTACAGTGGGATTCCAAATTTTGATAGGTCAACGAGTCACGATGAACTCACAAAAATGTTTAACCAAGGCAATCGTTACTTATAGATACTACGGTTATCTGACCAACTGCTGGAACACAAGTTATTTTATAGCAGAACCACCCAACAGACACTCGGAGGGTTTCCAAATTATTAAGCTTTCAGGTTAACATGTTAAACAAAGTCCTACAACGGTAAGGAGTAACAGGTATTTCACCACCTATTGTAGAATTAGGGCTACTATAGAGCTCAGCCCAATTTGCAAAGTATCATGGGAACTTCTGCAACAGCTATGAATCTACTTTTTGGCTATACCTGTCTAAAAGACAGTAAAATATATTGTATTCTTACCCCAGTGAACAAGAACTTTAAAGATGTAATGAGCCACACACCGAGCATGTTAGACACCAAACTGACTGGGAAATTGTGTAAAGTAACCAAGTCTCCTGAAACTTAAATCGCACATTATTTGTGAATACGTGACCTTCCTACAGAACGCCTACAATGTGCTCTTCCTACAGAACGCCTATAATACACTGTTAAAGGCAAACACTGAAAAAAAGACAACTTATAAGACATAGGGTGCACTTATTACTTATACAAAAGCTATGAAAAAGAAAAAAACACTAAGTCTTTTACACCATTGAAGACTATATAAGTTGTGCTATTTTCCCCTGGTTAGCCTAATGAGGTGCAAATAAAATAAAAAGTTATATCCATTTATCTGGATGTTGCTGAGTAGAAAATACAAAATGTGACATGGGGTGATAAATCCAATCCTTTGTCCCATCACAGCAAGGGCAGACCTGCTCAATACATGCACCGTGAAAGCTCAGCAGAGAAATATTCTATCCACAACGGCCTAATGATATATCAATAATGTGATAAAATCTCAAACTAAAATGTCATATATAACATTAGCATGTCATTTAAACTGGATGTTAGTCCTCCTGGGTCACACACACAAAAAATAATTATTTGCAGCGATTTAATTATTTGCAGCGATTAAAATCATATCATGGTTGGATGGTAAATCTGCAGGATGAAATCCTATACACTGATTCAGACGAGCAAACAAGTATGTCACAAACACAATAACCACTGTAACATTGCTCTTCTTAACCGTAAATTACTCCCCAACAAAATGTAGACATTACAGAATGGAAAAAAAATAATAATAAAAACACACAATCATGGAGAAATCTGAATGCAAAATCTGTAGGTCCATTAATGCCTTTTAAACAGTCGAGCTGGAGTCGTGACCCAGTATATGGCTTATGTTGTGTGCAGGACGATTTGAGGACTGTTTAGAAGAGTCTGAGTTTGATGAGTGAGATAGGGGCAGTAAAGGTGACATGGCCGATCCATCTGCAGGGAGTGCAGTGGCAATTTCTGGAAAGAGGGAGGTTAGGTTAAAGTTGGACAGGTGCGATGGGTTGGTCATGTGCATTGGAGTCATGTCTGGAAGAAGAGGGAACGTAGTCTGGGAGAAGCCAACAGGCCGTGGAGGAGATAGTATGGATCCAAATCGATTGTTTAAACTTGTGCTGCTGGGTTTTTCTGTGCTGGGGTTTGAGAACATTTGGTTTGGGAAATAAGGGATGGTAAGATCATTGGCTAAACTTGGATGAGCTGGTGAATAAGAAGGATAAAAAGAAGGTATTGTATTTTGCGGATCCACCGGTATTAAGGCAGGTGTGCGAGTGGCAGTGGCCTGTGTGACTGGAGGCATGAACGATGGGTTTGTATTTATTGGTGGGTTCATTGTACCTTCAGGAATAAACGGGAATCCAAAATTTTGAGTCAGTGAATGCTGGTCAGGATTTGGATTGTCAGTGGTCATTTGAGAACTGTCTGGCATGAATCTAACAATGCCAGTCCTCTTCTCAGTTACAGACTGTTGGCGTCCAAGAATCATAGCGCCAGGGCCAGCTAGCGGAAGGTGAGGCAGAGTAGGGTCAAACATATTGCCGTGCCTTTGGTTTCCGGTACGAGTTCTTTCAGGCTGACGGACCTTAGAGTCTGCCTCATCTTGCAAAGGGTGTCTTGAACGTTGAGCTATTGGAGGATTACCTTGTCTGACAATTTGCCTCTGGTCAACATTTCCATGGGACACTGGCTGATGAGGCACAGGAGGATGAACCACTCCATGCATGTTTATAGAAACTTGAATATTCAAGTGATTCTTTGTTCCTTGACTATCAGGTGGCCGCATGGCAGACTTCTGCAACGAAGGATGAGGGCTTGTGTTTCGGTTTTGAATATCTCCTGATGACGAGGAACTAGAGAAAGGGATACTTAAAGAATTGTTTCTAGAAGTCACTTGTCCCATTGCCAAATCACAGCTTTCCCTGTTTGGCCCATCATTCTCTCTTCGGAGGTGGACACTTTCACGTGTGGAAGGAGGACAGGTGTATTCAATTCCGGAAGATGAATTATATTGTGATCTTTGATGACCTGATATTGATCTCTGACTCACACTAACCTGTTCTCCAATATGTGGGGCTAACAAGCTCTGCATGAAGCTCTGATGACATGAATTTTCATTGTCTCGATTCGGAAGAGTGTTTGTAATTGGACCATCCTGCACCGGCTGATATGGTAAATGCTTTTGCCGATCGATGGATGAATTAGGATTGTGATTGATTCTGTAAGCTTGTGATTGCATGCCTCTCATAGAAGTAACCGCATTAGCGTCATTATTTCTTGAAGTCTGTACCTCAAAGACTCCGGATTGCTGCTGAGAGGAACTGGCCGTTTTGAAGGTTTGACAATCAGGGAGTCTCTGACCAGTCTCCGTGTTAACATTGTGGTCTAAGGACATGTGCCCTTGTAGGTTGTGAACTGATAAACCTTTATTTCTGGAAATATCCAAGTATTTCCTCATTTCCAGCTGATCGGGTAGCCTGGACGACTGATTTGTAATTCCCATTCTTTGCTCTGAGTTTGATGTGCTCTTGCCTATCAGTGCTTCAGCAGAATAGCTGGAAACTCTATTCCTCTCCTGCCTGTGTGGGGTGCACGTCATATTGGTGGGTCTGGAAACTACACTTGCCTGGGAGACCATTTGTTGTTCTAAACTCCTTGAAGTCATAAGTCTCTGTACCTGGTTGTGTCCAGATAAATGCTCTGATGACACCACCGACCCTTGCTGTCTGCTGCCAACATCCTGTTGATGCTGGTGAAGTATTTCCTGACTTACGTGGCTCGGGGGGTGACTGCCATGATGGTTTCGACTTGGCGCATTATTATCACAGGCTTTTTCAACCTGTGAAGACCCAAAGTGAGGAGGCAACTGCTGGTGGTGAGGATGTTGTTGACCGCCCTTTTGACGATTCTGCTCAGAGAGGTGATGATCCTGCTGTAAAGACAGCCTCGTAGCCTGGCCACCTTGCACAGGTCCTCTTTTCTTCTGTATCTGCACATCATGCTGCAGGAGCCTTTGCTGCTGCTGCACATTGTGAGACTGAGAATGGATAGTGGTGTCAGAGTGCGAAATATGATGCTGCTGTTGATAATGGTGATGCTGCTCCCTTAAATGACTGGCCTGCTGTTGCTTTAGGTACTGGTTGCTATGTAAGAGGGATATCGGATTAGATGTATGCTGTAAAGAGTGGAGCTGCTGAACACCCATCTGACTCTGTTCTGAAACGGCAGGTAGAGAACTGCAACGCATATCTGTCTGACGTAGGTTTGTGTTAAAGTTACTACTTGATGGGAACAGAGTGGCGAGTCCATCTCCATGTCCCTGGTTACTTGAGGACAAAGACGAGGAAGGAATTGAAGGCACATGGCTAACCAAGACTACATTTTGTTCAGAGAGATTCTCTTGAGCCTGCAACCTTTCATGTCTCACAGATGCTTGACACTGTTTTTGTCTCTTGGCTGCCGAAATCAAGCTGTCCTCTTGGGCACAACGCTTGTTTGACTCTTTCCTGGTCTCACCGTGTTTTAAAGTGGAATCGTTGGCACGAGTCACCTGCATGACGGTGGCCCTTATAGTATGCAGCTGCTCCTGAGAGAACTCTGACGCCATGACAGAAGACACTAGTGTTTGGTTTTTGTAGGTGCTAGAGAGTGTGGCAGGTGTATTCGAAGTTGTAGACGTCTGGGCAATATTGGCATGGTTAACATTTGAGTTCATGCCAGATTGGTGTATTAAATTATTTATGCTTAAACTCGTCATACTTTGGGATTGAGATGTGGAAATTTGCAGAGAAAGATTTGTGTTAATTTTCACAGGGCAATTGGTTTTCTCTGATAGCTGACTTACACCAGGGTGTGTACTCGAATCTAGAGAATTAAAAGTACTAGATGTTGAATGAACAGCAAGGTTTTCTTTTGCCATATGTGACTTGTAAGGGTGCCTGCAATCCCCTGCTGAAATTTCAGAATCAGCAACCCTAGAAACATCACTTCTAACCTCTGTCTGAATTCTTGCCCTTCCTTTGGGGAGGTTTTCCTGGTCAAAAATAACTCTTGCAGCCACAGCGACAATATCATTTTGTTCTGTAAAAGAACAACCATTGAATGATGAGGTCATTGTACCACTAGTAACATCTTCTCGACTGACATCTGGCAACATTGATGCAACAGAAAAGTTACGGCTACTTCCAGAGCTGGTGGAAAGAGGAGAATCAGTTTGTCTATTAGTAACACAAGAACCACTAGCCACTATTTCTTGCACAGAAACACAAGGCTGATGCTGTGTACCATGACTTGCTGGGGTGTTCACAAGTAGAGGGTCTTCCTTTGCATGTTCAGCAGATGTAACTTCTTTTGATTTAACCTTTCTGTAAAACAGTCCAGAATGAAGAACTTCTTTAGTTGCTACCTTTGGAGAAGGAGATCTTCCTTTTGGATCATCTGCCAGAATCTGGACTTCCAGGAGATCGGTAGCAGTTAAACTTGAAGAGTCTTCTTGGAGAACACAAGCTTTGGAAACATCAACAGCATCAGCAATCGTGCCTGTGGTTAGTACAGTTTGATCTGCAGATACTGTGGTAGCAGAAGACTCTTGCATCTGAGCAGTCGGAAGTATGGAGGATACAGTAGTTACAGCACAAGCCTTAAATGATTCTGGAGGCTCTGAAGGCGTAATGTGATCATCCTGATTTAAACAAACATCTGCACTGGGAAGATCTCTGCAGCCAGCAAACTCTCCCGAAAACTGCTCCCCTGAGACAGAATTAGAAAGCATACAGGTCTCCCCACTGGAATTTATTGCTTCCAAGGGGACGACTTCATTACCTACCGAATCAAGTTTCTCTTGCACAGTACTGGTAGTATTTACCAAAACAGACGTACTTTCCAGTTGTTCAAGATTATCTCCATTTGACTGCTCATTCAAAGATTCTGCACCGAAAGAATTGGATTTATTGGATATCAAGATCTCCTTTTTAGAAGATTTTTTAGTACTGGGCTTCTTTATGGTCTTCTTTGGTTTCACATTTGAAGGCGATCCTCCAGCGTTTTTTCCAGGGAAAAGGTTTGTTGGGCTGGAAGTGACTGGCAAACTTTTTGTACTTTCTGTGGTTACTACAGCCGTGCTGGTCCCTGTCACAGGAACACAATTAACAGGAACATTAGCTCCCGTTAACGAAGGTGCAGGGGGGTTGAGAGTAAATTGTAAGCAGCTTTGACCTGCCATCTGGGATATGCTCTGGCTAAGGTTGGCCAAAGCACCAAAAGTGTTGAGAGCCACATTCGTGTTGGGATCCTCACTGGTGGTAGGTTGGATAATCTGCATTGGGGTTTGATTGGCTGTACCAGTTGACAGAGTCACTGGTTGAAGAGCAAACAAATGTCCATTCAAGGAGATTGTTGGTGGCTGCTGGTTTGAGGAGACTGTAGAGACAGGAACAGACTGCACGGGGCTAGTTGATGGGACTGGTGTAGGTCTTGGTAATATATGAACAAGATGCTTTCCACCAAATGTCTGGGGGGCAACAGCATTTTGCACAGTGTTTGTTGGACACACAACATGGCTTCCTGCATTAAGAGGCAACACTACAGATGGGGCTGGCTGAGCAGACATTAAAGGAAGAGGAGTTTGGTTTGGAGATGCTTGAATAATAACAATTTGTTGCCCCACCCCTGGCTTGGGAACATCGGTCCGTAAGACAGGTGGACAAGGAGCTGCTGCTGGAGGCTGAAGCAATATGATGTTCTGATTGGCTGGGACTGGGTTTAGAGCAGGTCTGACAGGCTGAGCCACCTGAATTACTTGAACAGGAGGATTCAGAGGGAGTAGGTTAGGTGCACTTTGCGACTGGGAGTGGATCGTCTGCGCTGGTACTTGCAAGCCAGGTGGGATTTTCATCACCTCAACAGATCTGCCTTCTGAAGTATTCAGGTTTACAGATGCTGCTATTAGTTTGTTACTATTGGCATCTTTAGAGCATGTTTGTTGCTCAGTTAACAACATGGGAATAACTGTGGAAGATGTCTGGCTTAATGGCTGTATGGTATTCCCTGCTAACTGCAATGTTGTCCATGTGGTTTGTGTATTTCCATCGGAAGAAATCCGTGTTAAGCTACTAACGTTTTTCAATTCAGGAGAAGATAAAGTTATAGGAAGTGACCAGCTATTTTCCAGAGGACTTGACGTCAATAAGTTTGTAGCAGATGCAGCTTGATTTCCCAGGGTGGATGTTATTGATGAGACTGTTACTTCAGGGCTAGAATCAATATCAATATTGGGGAAAATCTCCTGGACTACATCTTTTACAGTTTCAGAACAGCTAGTGACTCCAGAATACCTCCCCTGGAGAAGATTTAACGGCTCCTGTAAACTTATTGCAGACACAGAGGCCTGTGATACTTCCGAAACCAGCGGCAGAAGGCTTGATGGAAGGCTGCTGCAGGTCGATGAAGCATTGTTGGGTAAAGAGACCAGGGGCTGTGCAACCATATTTTCACCAGTGTTGGACTCTTGTGATGTTTGGCTGGAAGAGCACTGAAACTGGCTTGTAGAACCATTTAGGAAAGAAAGAGCAGATGCAGTGCTTACAGGGAAAACAACATTCGGCTGACCCTTGGATGCAGGGACATCATTAGTATTTGGAGCTGAAGTGACGACAGGAAGACACAGTGGTATGTGCTGACTGGATGTGGATGCAATCACTGCACTTTGTTGCCAGGTTTTGTTTTCTAAAGGGTAGACACCAGAAATTGTGATGGGTGTTACCAAGTTACATGTCCTTTGCACTGGAACAACATTCGCAGTCTGCTTCTGTAGATTCTGACTCACGTTGAAAGTGATCCCATGCACAGTGGACCCCTGGTTGGCGGAACTCAGTTGGCTGCTATTTAAGCAGAGGGGGAGCTTCTGGACTTGATCTGGAGAAGCCACCAAGGAAGTCTTGGAGTTACGCGCTTTCCCTTTCCAATGCAGAGTTGGGTCATCATACAGACAGATGTCATTACTCTTCAGAAGTTCTATGTATCGAGAATTCTCTTTCTGGAGCTCCGCCAGTTCCTTCCTAAGCTTTTTGATTTCGCAAGCTAAAAAAAAAAGAAGAAAAAGAAAATTACAAAAATAAGAAAAGATCACAAAGAAATATTCCAAACAATCTGGTGAATTATCATCCTTATCCTAATATTAATTAATGCATTAAAATGAAAACTCCTTTCTACAAACATCTATTTTAAAAAAAAAATGAAGTATATAGCCATCTAAAACACAATCTCCATTACAGTGCTTCTCAAAGCAGTTCTCAAGAACCCCCAGTATTTTTGTTTAAGGGATGATCATTTGAGTGTGGACACTGAAAACTTATGCTCCTTGAGAATTATGTAAAGAAGAGTACCCATAGGATAATTACTGAGAAATTCCCTATAGAGTACCTATAGCAGAATTACTGAGATATTCTCTATAGAGTACCTGTAGGAGAATTACTGAGATATTTCCTATAGAGTACCCATAGGATGATTAATGAGATATTCCCTATGGAGTACCCATAGGAGAATTACTGAGATATTCTCTATAGAGTACCTGTAGGAGAATTACTGAGATATTTCCTATAGAGTACCCATAGGATGATTAATGAGATATTCCCTATAGAGTACCTGTAGGAGAATTACTGAGATATTCCATATAGAGTACCCATAGGATGATTAATGAGATATTCCCTATAGAGTACCCATAGGAGAATTACTGAGATATTCCATACAGAGTACCCATAGGATGACTAATGAGATATTCCCTATAGAGTACCCATAGGATGATTACTAAGATATTCCCTATAGAGTACCCGTTGGAGAATTACTGAGATATTCCAAATAGAGTACCCATAGGATGATGGGTAACTAAAATTATAGATCAGGGTGGTGCAGTAGACATTGCTTACCTAGATTTCAGTAAGGCTTTTGACACTATTGCACATAGAAGGCTTATCAATAAACTGCAATCTTTAAGTTTGGATTCAAATATTGTTGAATGGGTAAGGCAGTGGCTGAGTGACAGGCAACAGAGGGTTATAGTTAATGGAATATATTCGAAGCTTGGACTTGTCACAAGTGGGGTACCTCAGGGATCTGTACTTGGACCCATTCTCTTTAATATTTTTATTAGTGATATCGCAGAAGGTCTTGATGGTAAGGTATGTCTTTTTGCTGATGATACTAAGATATGTATCAGGGTTGATGTTCCAGGAGGGATAAGCCAAATGACAAATGATTTAGGTAAACTAGAAAAATGGTCAGAATTGTGGCAACTGACATTTAATGTGGATAAGTGCAAGATAATGCATCTTGGATGTAAAAACCCAAGGGCAGAGTACGGAATATTTGATAGAGTCCTAACCTCAACATATGAAGAAAGGGATTTAGGGTGATTATTTCTGATGACTTAAAGGTAGGCAGACAATGTAATAGAGCAGCAGGAAATGCTAGCAGAATGCTTGGTTGTATAGGGAGAGGTATTAGCAGTAGAAAGAGGGAAGTGCTCATGCCATTGTACAGAACACTGGTGAGACCTCACTTGGAGTATTGTATCCAGTACTGGAGACCGTATCTTCAGAAGGATATTGATACCTTAGAGAGGGTTCAGAGAAGGGCTACTAAACTGGTTCATGGATTGCAGGATAAAACTTACCAGGAAAGGTTAAAGGATCTTAACATGTATAGCTTGGAGGAAAGATGAGACGGGGGGATATGATAGAAACATTTAAATATATAAAGGGAATCAACACAGTAAAGGAGGAGACTACCACAACAAGAGGACATAGTCTTAAATTAGAGGGACAAAGGTTTAAAAATAATATCAGGAAGTATTACTTTACTGAGAGGGTAGTGGATGCATGGAATAGCCTTCCAGCTGAAGTGGTAGAGGTTAACACAGTAAAGGAGTTTAAGCATGCGTGGGATAGGCATAAGGCTATCCTAACTTTAAGATAAGGCTAGGGACTAATGAAAGTATTTAGAAAATTGGGCAGACTAGATGGGCCGAATGGTTCTTATCTGCCGTCACATTCTATGTTTCTATGATTACTGAGATATATAGGAATATACCCATAGGATGATTACTGAGATATTTCCTATAGAGTACCTGTAATTCCCTTGCACTGTCCTTGTATCACACTTTCAGTGAATGACTCGTCAGAACCAGTCTATGGACATCAGGAGCAACTGTACAAGCACCTGACATGGCAAAGTAAAGAAGTGTACAAACAAAGATACTGTATATACTCGAGTGTAAGTTGAGTTTTTCAGCACATTTTTTTGTGCTGAAAAACCCCAACTCGACTTATACTCGAGTCAATGTCTGTATTATGGCAACTTACATTTCCATAATACAGACAAGGACCGCCGGGCTCATTACAAGCCCGGCTGGCAAAGAGCTGTAACTTAGCTTTCCTGCAGCTCCTGTCAGCTCCCTTCTCTCCTCCGGTCCGGTAAGCTCCCTTCTCCTCCACTGTAAGTCTCGCGAGAGCCGCGGGGTCAGAACGAGACTTGCAGTGGAGGAGAAGGGAGCTGACCAGACCGGAGGAGAGAAGGGAGCTGACAGGAGCTGCAGGAAAGGTAAGTTACAGCTCTCTGCCAGCCTCCCTCCTACAAAGCCCATCCACTGGACCACCAGGGAATGAGAGCCCCCCTCCCTGGCCAGCTAATAACCAGGGAGGGGGGACAAAAAAAAAAATATAAATACAAATTTAAATAACAATAAAATAAGAAAAATTTTATAACATTGAAATAAAAAAATAAAAAATTGCCCACCCCCCCACCAAGGCTCTGCATCACACACACACACTGCATTCATACACACATACACTGCACTCATACACATACACTGCACTCATACACACACACAGTAAATAAATATTCAATTAATATAATTTTTGGGGGATCTAAATTTTATTTAGAAATTTACCAGTAGCTGCTGCATTTCCCACCCTAGTCTTATACTCGAGTCAATAAGTTTTCCCAGTTTTTTGGGGTCTCGACTTATACTCTAGTATATACAGTTCACACCAATGTCACCGAGAATGCTAATTCAGGTTTATTAATGCAATATAACATATACAAAACATATCAATCAGGAAAAACAAGGTGATAAGGCAAAAGAATAGCACAAGTAAAGAGTAAAGTAAAGTGTAACAAAATCGAAAAATATCCAAGTCATGTGAGTCTGCTTTACTAGAGTACCCACACCAATGAAAGGAACAAACAATGTATAGCTGACCACCAAGTTCAACATCTATAAGCATTAATATTTAAATATTTAAGCAAATACTTTGTGTAAATAAAATGCTTTGATCTTGATACAAATGCCCTGTGTGTCTGGCCTTTTGTGATGCTAATGGGTGTGTAGAAGAAACATGTGGCTCAGTGAGCCTCTAGATGGGCAGACAGACCAATATTATGCCCACCTTGCTCTTTGTCCCCACCATTGAGGAGGAGTTCATCGTTTTGCCTCTTGAGTTCAGTAATATATTTGAAGGCCTGCTCCAAGATCATATTCTTACTCTGGCGCAAAAAAGACAGAAATATAAATTACACAAGAATGGTGTTCTTGGTTATAAGGAAACTAACAGAAACAAATTTATTTTAAAGTGAAGCTGTTATGAAAAAATGTACTTACCTGAAATTGCTCGCATATACATTAAATACACCATATATCACAAAGATACATGGTGTATTCAATGTAAAATACAGAGATTGACTCACTATTCCTCTGTTCCACCGCCTCCATCTTCATGGGTGTTACTCTCAATGCAACATTCACCCCTTCTGGCGATCCTCCTCACAAAGTCTTTGATTCGCCCTGCTTGGGACAGATCCCCAAGCAGGGCAAATCTAGTCAGTGACATCGGCATGTTGGGTTCGTTACAAGCGTGAGAGCGTCGGAACAGGGATGGCACATCATCCTTCCATTCCTATATGCCGTAGCCAGCACTGGCTACAGAGTTTCCATGGCAACCACAGTGCTTGCGCTGTGGTTGATATGGGTGGAGAGAAGAAGGACTTTTCAGCTCTCCCTTGTCAGCAATGCCTCGGCGCTGACTGATAGCCAGAAGAAAAAAATATTTTTATATTGTTTTGTAACAGAGTCTATACATTTGCTTGCAAAACTGCTAGCACAATGTATTGATTAAATCTTATGCTCATTCTAAAGCATTGTGATTGGCTGAGAGAATCACTTCTGATGATGTCAGCCAAACAGGCAGATCAGGGACAGAGCCAGCAGCATCAAACTGAAATAAGGGTGAGATTTTTACTATATTTGGGGGAAGTGGCAGAATGTGTTTTTAACACTATGTGGTCAGGAATACAGGTTTGGGTTCCTGATCCTATAGTGTTCCTTTAATATTAGCAATTTCGAATTATATCCTTTTGGTGGCAGTAAAGTCAAAGATATCAGATGATTGCTGCAATGTGTTCAGTGTCAGTTCTAGCATGAGTAATAGGCAGAAGTTTTGATTTGGATAAAATGTAACTCCCTTGCATGTTGGTCACAATGGTTAAATGTACCATAATGAAAGCACCAAATAAGCATTAGTGTAAGTGCAACAAGAGTCTGGTTAAATGTTGCGGTAATAGGTATCACATAGATTTTTCAGGGATATTAAAAGCTTATCTAGCTTGATCAATGTTAGCCCACCCGGGGACAGCAAGTACAATTCCACTGGATATAATATATGGAGACAAAAAAATGGGGATGGATTACAGGTATCAATATTAAGACTGCAGATTGAAACCATACAGAGCATAGCATGGGATGGGGGGGGGTGAAGAATATCCCCTTGCTCAGACACAGCAAACTGACAGTGTATATTAAATGTATAAACATTTATGGTCTCCTTTTGAATTTTTTATTGCTTTCATTCAGTTTGTATTTGTTTAAAGGCGTTTGCTTGATGGTTTAAAGAAAAATGTCAAGCCTACTTTAACCCTTTGTGTCACTATACCCCACTCCCTCTAGCATGTAAGCTCATCGAGCAGGGCCCTCAACCCCCTCTGTTCCTGTACGTCCAGTGGTCTGATCTCAATTATGTGTCTGTTAGTCCACCCATTGTACAGCGCTACGGAATTTGTTGGCGCTATATAAATAATAAAATAATAATAATAATAATAATAATAATAATAATACATATACCATTAATCTTTATATTGCTGTCAATCAATTTTACATATTATAACAACCTGCTTGTTGTAACTTTACATTTTTCTACGAGATATATGAGATATATGAGACAATTTATATATTAAAAATGTTTTACTTGAAGTATAGACTGACAATTTTGAATGTAACTTTGGGAACAACTGTAATATTTGTTTTATGTCCAACTTAGTTTGGGCTGTTTTTTATTCGGGTTTTAATCTCTTTGTTTGTGTATAATCTTATTTCAACTGGTTCCTGTTTAATCACTGTCTGTAGAGCTCTAGAATAGAGACTGGTACACTATTTCAATTAGTTAGAAAGCCGGGCATATACCTGCTTCAATGCGGGAGAACATGGGATGAGGTCACCAATGCGATTTATTCCAGAGTTTATCTTTTTCTTTCGATGTCTCTCCACTAAAGGGGAAAAATGAAAAAGGTAACTGACACAAAAACAAATTCAACAGAAATAGAAAAGATAAGCACCCCCAGTTCTTTCAAAATGTAACAATCTTGGAATTTGTTACTGGAATACAGGAGGGTATGTGTGGTAGGGAATGACAGCTAAGGACAAAGCACATAGAGCAGGGTATAAAACAGGAGCAGGGGGTCACAGAACAAAAACAATTGCACTATGTTAAAAACAGCAACGCTACTAAGCACCAGAACAACTTTAGCTTAATGAAGCAGTTTAGGTGTATAGAACATGCCCCTGAAGATTCACTGCTCAATTCACTGCCATTTAGGAGTTAAATCACTTTGTTTCTGTTTATGCAGCTCTATTCACACCTCCCCTGGCTGTGACTCACCCAGTCTGCATGAATAAAATGGTTTCACTTTTAATCAAATGTTACAGCAATGTGTGTTTACTACAGAAGTTGTTACCTCCTGCCCTATCAATTCAACTTTAATCACACACAGAATGCTCCTGCTGGCTATTACCAGAGCAGGATGTGAGAAGTTTGATATTAAACAGACTGTGAAATAAACAAAGTTTAAACATTAAGTCTCTATATACAGGAAGTGTTTAGGGAGACTGTATAAGTCACATGCATGGAGGTGTGAGTAGGGCTGCATAAAAAAACTGATTTCTCTGATTAAAAGTCAGAGAATTGAGCAGTTGCCACTCCATTAAGCTAAAGTTGCTTAGGTGCTCATAAGGTGCCTTTAACTGTGAACAACACAACATCATATAATAAAGGAACCAAACAAATGAATAGGATTATGGCTATATCGTGTCTGCAATAAAACAGACTCTATAGAGCAAATAAAGGCACGTACAACAATGCACTTGCTTTCAAGATATTGAGGTCAATTTCTTCTTATGTTGGAGTACGCAGAGTCATCTGCTCAACACAGCGGTTTCCAGATTTGTTAATGACATCGATATATATTTTATTTTTCCAGTGTTGTCTATTTATTAAAAGATTTGAGAAAAAAAATAAACAGTCCTGCTCACCCTCATTGTGACTCTCCCTGTTTTTCTTCCTGGAACAAAGAGGAAAAAAACCCTCAGATATTATTGAAATAAATATTGTAACAAATGCTTCCAAAATCACTGCAAGGCAGATACATTGTGCCCTCGGGCTGAACTTCGGTAACTCACTCTAGTTACTTGTGGGCAGGTGGTTGAAGCCAGCGAGGGGAGGTGGCGACTTTGGGTGAAGCTAGCGAAGGGAGGTGGCGACTTTGGGTGAAGCTAGCGAGGGGAGGTGGCGACTTTGGGTGAAGCCAGCGAGGGGAGGTGGTGACTTTGGGTGAAGCTAGCGAGGGGAGGTGGCGACTTTGGTTGAAGCTAGCGAGGGGAGGTGGCGACTTTGGGTGAAGCTAGCGAGGGGAGGTGGCGACTTTGGGTGAAGCTAGCGAGGGGAGGTGGCGACTTTGGTTGAAGCTAGCGAGGGGAGGTGGCGAAGCTTTTAGCTTACCTGTGTCTGGTTTTAGTAGAAGTCTCATTTTGAGTCATCTCCGGCATGCTTACATACAAAGGTGCCTAACTGAGAAGAGAAACACAAACACACATAGTGACTAACAGAAAAACAACTAATCTATAATCATTCAGTTTGTCTTCATATGACACACAAACACAGCTCAGGATTTATATAACAGGTATATAAAGAACTAATGGGGGGAGATGCATTACCGTTTATGGAATACCCTGATGGCTGGCAACAGCATGACCACCTACAAATCTTGTGAGTAGACTGCCTATAGACATCTGCTGCTAAAACAAGAAGCTAGCCATTGTCATGGACTCATACCGGATATCGGCAAGTCGTAGTGTATGCTGGTTTAGCCGACCTATTCCTTCATACATAAAGGAAAGTAATGCATCATTTTTTTTCTTTACCCATAATATCTGAACAAGTCATGGAATTGAAAATATCATTTAGCATAGAGATCTACTTTAGGTTTGAGTGATAGTTGCTTATTAGCCACGTGGCTTCTATAACAGGACATCCTCTTTACCTCCAAATCTGGACCCTGGAGTCTCCTTCCTTGGGCTTCTCTGAGATTAGGTTCAATCTGTCCTCAATAGCAAATACACCCTCCCTATCACACTCTCCCTGTGCAGCAGGCAGATAAGGCATCGCATACTTCATTCTACTAAATGTGAAAAGGGAGAGAAAAAAGTGGAGAGAAAGCTACGTGAATTGATAGGTAACAACTAAAAACACAATAACATCCAGAACTCAGATTACTGCAATGTGCAAACCCAGGCTTGTTTTTCCCCATCTCCACGTGGCCCGTAAGGGACTTGTTTTGCATTTCTTATTCAGGGTGTTTTACAAGATTTGCCATTATCCATTTACAACTAAAAAGAGGGAAACACATTGGAATCAGACTAGACTAATATTAATAACTCGTGGTCAGAGTGAAGTGTGCTGTGGTGGGAATAGAGAATAAAAAAAAAAAATGCTAATCATTGCTTATTCATACAGCGCCAACAGATTCTGCAGTGCCACTCATGTTCACACATAAAGAGCACACAACGAGATTTCACCAGATAAATGCAACTGCAATTAGATTTAGATGGAACTATTAACATAGAAACATAGAATGTGACGGCAGATAAGAACCATTCGGCCCATCTAGTCTGCCCAATTTTCTAAATACTTTCATTAGTCCCTGGCCTTATCTTATAGTTAGGATAGCCTTATGCCTATCCCACCCATGCTTAAACTCCTTTACTGTGTTAACCTCTACCACTTCAGCTGGAAGGCTATTCCATGCATCCACTACCCTCTCAGTAAAGTAATACTTCCTGATATTATTTTTAAACCTTTGCCCCTCTAATTTAAGACTATGTCCTCTTGTTGTGGTAGTTTTTCTTCTTTTAAATATAGTCTCCTCCTTTACTGTGTTGATTCCCTTTATGTATTTAAATGTTTCTATCATATCCCCCCCAGTCTCGTCTTTCCTCCAAGCTATACATGTTAAGATCCTTTAACCTATTCTAGCAATATTTGGAGATGAGAGGATCAGATAATGTAGGGGAATATAGCATATTGAAATATAAGAAAGAGAACTCAGGATTTAGCATCTGGGTATAAGAATGCCATTGTCAACTGGACTGAAGTGGTTATAGTGCCAGGAATGACCAAGCGACCTACTACCATGTACGAATGGTTTGACAACTAACCTGGGATACACCAGGTGTCCCCCATTACCTCCTTTATAGACGGAAGCTAATGCTTGGAGCTTCCATGAAATGCCTGATCTTAGCCATATAATGTAGTTATAATGTAGTTAAATAGGCTGAAAGGAAACTTGTGTCCATCAACTTCAGCCTTCCTCAGTTTGTTTTTTTGCTGTTGATCCAAAAGAAGGCAAAAAACCCAGTTTGAAGCGCTTCCAATTTTGCAACAAACTAGGAAAAACTATTTCCCTCTTGACTCCAGACCGGCAGTCAGATTGTTCCTTAGATCAAGAAGCTATTCCCCTACACTGAAAAATTATATAATTGAATATTCTGTTTAAACATCTGTATGGACTCTGATAAAACCACTTCTTCAGGTAGAGAATTCCATATCCTTATTGTTCTTACTGTAAAAAACCTTTCCTTTGCCTTAGACGAAATCTTCTTTCTTCCAATCTAAACACATGACCCTGTGTCCTAGTAAAGTCTGGTTTGTGAATACATTTCCACACAATGGTTTGTATTGGCCATGAATATATATGTATAATTTTATCATATCCCCTCTGAGGCAACGTTTTTCTAAACTAAAGAAGTTTAAATTTGTTAACCTTTCTTCATAGCGGATATGTTCCATTCCTTTTATTAAATGACCACTATAGTCACTCAAACCAGTTCAGCTTAATGAAGTGGTCTGGGTGCCAGGTCCATCTAGGGTTAACCCTGCAGCTGTAAACATAGCAGTTTCAGAGAAACTGCTATGTTTACATTAGGGTTAAAATCCAGCCTCTAGTGGCTCATTGACAGGCGCTAGAGGCGCTTCTCACTGCAATTTTCACAGTGAGAAGACGCTTGCGTCCATAGGAAAGCATTGAGAAATGCTTTCCTATGGACTGGTTGAATGCGCGCGTGGCTCTTGCCGTGCATGCGTCGGAAGAGGGAGGAGAGTCCCCAGCGCCGAGGGAGCCGGCGCTGGAGAAAGTTAAGCCTTTAACCCCTTCCTCCCCCTAGAGCCCGGCGGGAGGGGGGACCTATTAACACTATAGTGCCAGGAAAACGAATTTGTTTTCCTGGTACTATAGTGGTCCTTTAACCCCTTAAGGACACACGACATGTGTGACATGTCATGATTCCCTTTTATTCCAGAAGTTTGGTCCTTAAGGGGTTAAAGGGACACTATAGTCACCAGAACAACTACAGCTTATTGAATTTGTTCTGGTGAGTAGAATCATTACCTTCAGGCTTTTTGCTGTAAACACTGTCTTTTCAGAGGAAATGCAGTGTTTACATTACAGCCTAGTGATTACTTCACTGGCCACTCCTCGGATGGCTGTTAGAGATCCTTCCTGGGTCATGGCTGCCTAAAATGCATCCAAACATTCCGTATCTCCTCCCTTTGCATGCAGACACTGAACTTTCCTCATAGAGATTCATTGATTCAATTCATCTCTATGAGGAGATGCCGATTGGCCAGTGCTGTGTTTGAATCATGCTGGCTCTGCCCCTGATCTGCCTCTTTGTCAGTCTCAGCCAATCCTATGGGGAAGCACTGTGATTGGATCAGGCCACCACTTCTGATGTCAGCAGACAGATTGTTTTTTTTGATGCAAACAGCAAACATGTATTCCTGACCCTATAGTGTTAAAACCACCATCTAGCCCCCCTGGGCACCTCATGCCTCCATAAATATAGCAAAATCTTACTGTATTCAAGTCTGAAGCTGTAACTCTGCACGCTGTTTGCCTCAGAAAAACAAGCTGTTTGCTGACAGCATCCCCGGGGGTTTGTTTATATTAACTTTCTTTAGTTGCTGCAGCACCTTGTCTTGAGTTAGCCAATTACAATTGTCGTGCATGTTATTTGCACATCTATTGCCATATGTTCTTCCTTAAAATACACAGATGAAAAATAGTTATTTAAAAATGTCTGCCTTTTCCTTGTGTTCATTAACTAACACCCCCATCCCGGTTTTTAGTGTACCTACACTTTCATTTTTTATTTTTTTAGAATTTATGTACTTAAACATTTTGGTTGTTGGTTTTGCTCTCGGGTTGGTTCATTGTCTCAGTGTTCTCAGCCAATGAATGCAGCCCGGCACAGCTGGCTTAGATCAGTGCTGGAGGTTAGTCTGAAGAGTAGGCAAAATCAGGCACACAGCGGATCCCAGGTAGGTTGGTAAACTGCACTTAAACAGTTTGACTATTTAACCACTAGAGCTCACACGGAGTGTCTTTTAATGGTATAACAACATCCCAAGAAGGCAGCATCTACTACTAATAAATTCAAATTGTAACAGTGTGAAAAAAATCTTGTGTTTATTGTAGTACCACAAACATGTAACGATTTATCCTCAAAGGAATAGTCTAAGCAGCATAACTACATCATCTTAACCCCTTAAGGACAGAGCTCCAGAAGATTGTCTTTCACTTAATGACAACAGCATTTTTTGCTGTTTGTGTTCAACTGCAATTTGCATTTTACTAATTTATTGCACCGACACATATTATATAACGTTTTTTAAAGGACAGAAAGGGCTTTAATTTGATGTAACATATATATATATATATATATATATAATGAAATTGTTTGTGGGTTTTTTTTTTTTTACAGTTTTTGCAATAATAGTGTGTGCATAATTAGTGCAGGTTAAGGAAAGTAATTAAAAACTAGAAAAGTTACAATTTCAGGGGAAATTGTGTGAAGTGTTCTTGCCTCCACCAGTAGTCTACAACTGGAGTGGGCGGAGTAACTGTTATCATTTACAAAACACATTTAATTGCAACGTTGTTGCACAGTTACATTAAACCATACATTTATAAAAACATTAGCAGGTGTTCAAAAGGCCCTGTCTATGACATCACTTGCTGCTGCAGCTTGACACAGGTCAGAGTATTTTGGCGGTTGCCATCTTCAAACGGTCGTATCTTAAAAAAAACTATAACTCCTACAGCGAAGAGCTTTATATTGCGAGAATCACAAGACCCAGACCTACGTTTTGATGCATAGTATGTCTCTGAAGTATTAAAATTGAAGGCACAGTCGCAGTTTAGAAATTGCACTTCATATTTGAGCTTTGGAGAGTGAAGTTTCAATGAATGTCAATGGATGGCGTTGGTTGCAAACAAATGGTCATATTGTGAAAACTATCAGGACTACGGCTTAGCCGTTGACATGTTTAGTGGCAGCAGGGATAGCTGAACGTTTTGATATAAGATATATATTGTGTAGGTGAGCCTGAAAATAAGGGAGTGGTGGCAGTTTAGAAATCATGTCCTGATTTTTCAGCTTTTGGCAGCTCCCACTCTAGCTTTGCCATTCATTCCTATGGGACAAATTGCGCCACAAAAACGACGATATTCCGTGAACCATTCGGCGAAACGTTCCACAAAGTAATAGCAATCCGATCGGGAACAATCTGCACGTTTTGGTAAATTTTGGTCTATGTAGTGTAAAAACTGTGGGAGGAGTTAGGGTGGCAAATTTGGCTATAATAAGAATAATATATATGTGAGATAACAATAAGTGTTCTTGCAAGAACACTTAATAAATTCATTTAGTTGTTCTGATTTACAGAATATATAATGTGTCTGGGATTTTAAGTTTGTTTTGGTAGTTACAGGTCACAAAGCACAAGGAGTAAAATAAACTTTTAATGTGGAGCGATTTTAGAATTTGGTATGTTTGTCTTGTAAGCGTAATAGCCATAAAAGAAAACAGAATTGCCACACAAAAGTATATATTTACATAAAGTAGACATCACGGGCTATTTTCCTAGGGTTGTTTTGACACTTTCTAGCCATTTCACCGCCAACCTCTGCTAAATATGGGAGTAAAATTGTGCGTTGTTTTTGGCACACAAACTTATAACAAAGAAATTCTCATGTGTATTTTGTAAAGTTGGTGTGTGCTATTCCTGTACAAAGTTTTATTTTGTGTTCAGTTACATCTGCTGAGTACAAGGATACCCCCAGTGTATGTCTTTGGCACTATTTCGTGAAGCTACAGTGCCATATAGGAGACCTGTCCTTTTCAGTATTTACAGTAGAATTTTGAGAGGCGGATTTAATGAGCCTATGCTTCCATTTGGGGTATTATAACAGTTTGACTGTTCAAAAAAAGCCCACAAAGGCCTACCATTTGTAAAAGTAGACACTCCAGGGTATCTCATAAGGTGCATATTGTGCCTTAACATGCCCCCATTTTTTCACCAATATATGCCAAAGTATGTGGTAAAAAATAATTTTGTGAGTTTTTTACATACGGATTACATTTTTGTTGGGTATTTTGTATATTTTACATGTGCCACTAAGTTCAAACCCCCCAAATGATGCTCAGCTAAGTCTTCTGAGTAAAAATACACCCCCAATGAATGTCTTTGGCACTACAGTGCCATATAGGAGACCAAGCCATATCAGTTTTTACCGAACTTGCTGGGCCTATGTGCAATCTCCAAGCATCTTAGCAGGGTTTAAATTCAAACTACCCCATAAAGCCATACCATTTCTTAAAGTACCCAAGTGTATTTCAAAAGGTATATTTTGAACCTTAGCGTGGGATCATTTTTCCGCTAGCTTGTACCAAGTGTAGTGGTAATAAGCGTTTTTTCTGCCTTTTTGACACACAAAGTGAGTTTGCAAAGTATATTTTGCAAACCTTATGTGTGCTGCAACTGTATAATACTTCATATGTTGCTCAGCTATGTCGGCTGAGTACAGCAATACCCACGTATGTACCTTTGCCAGGTATATGTGGACATCGGAGGGGCACATTTGGGACACAGCCATTACAGTTTTTTTCAAACTTTACATTTTTACGCTGTGCCCATGTCCCATTTTAGAGTATTTTACCAGGCTATATAATCCAAATACCCCAAAAAGCCATACCATTTCTTAAAGAAGACATCCCAGGGTATTACAAAAGGCATATTTTGAACCTTAACATGGGATCATTTTTCCGCTAGCTTGTACCAAGTGTAGTGGTAATGAGCATTTTAAAATGTATTTTTTAACTTTTTTAAACTTTTTTTACTTTTAAAAACTAGTTTTTAAACTTTTGTTTTGCTTATTAATTTTTTAAAACTTTCCTAAACTTTCTTAAAACTTTTTTTTTTTTTTACTGATTTAACATTTTTCTAAGCTTTTTTTTTTTACCGTTAACCCCTAACTAGCAGCACTAACAGTAAATTCACCATTTTCCCATAACTCCCACCCACCCCAGCTAGCAAACTAATAATTATAAAATATTTAAATTAAATAAATTGAACCCCTGAGGGTTAAAAAATAAATAAAAGTTAATCTTTAGGGGTTAAAAAAAAATTTGATCACAGTATAATACTGTGATCTGTATTTTGATCACTGTAGGCAGTAATCGACTGGCAGGGAAGGGGTTAATTTTTATTTGGACTGGGTAAAGGTTTTTTTAAGTTTATTTTAAAACTTTTTTTTAACGTTAACCCCTAGTTAGCCTAACACCAAATCCCCCAATTCCCCACTAACGTCCACCCACCCCAGCTAGCTAAATATAATTTTAAAATATTTAAATTAATCAAATAAATTTAACCCCTGAGGGTGAAAAAAAAAAATGACAGTAAAATGTAATCCCTGACAATTGATTACTGCACTTGATCACATACATATATATATATATATTAATAATAAAATACACTTAGACACTGTATGTGTGTGTGTATATATATATATATATATATATATATATATATATATATATATATGTAAAAAGCAGATAAAATTTGTATCTTGTAAAACCTTTTTTAATGACAAGCTTTCAGGAGAATTTCCCTTTCTCAAGTCAGAAGCATTTCTGAGCAAGACGACACATAGAATTCAAAGTTGAGTTGTGTATATATATAAAATCTAAGTATATATTATTTAATTTTACACTGTTTTAAAACTTTAACTTTTTTTCAGGCAGCAAATGGACTACCTGTCATTCCAGGCACTCCCCCTGCTGGCACTGCTATGGACGGCTATTCCGTCCATGTGATTGTGAGGTCCTCGCGATCACATGGCCCAGGAGGGCCGGATCGGCAGCAGGGGGACCCCCTGGGATGCCAGGTACGTCCCACAATCACGAGGGTCCCTGGGATGCAGGTAAGTCCTTTGGGTGGCATGGACACGCTATGCCGCCTTCCGGCGTTTAGAGCCGGGTCCCCAAGGACGGCATAGCACGCACGCCGTCCTTAAAGGGGTTAATGAAGTGAGACATGGCAATGTTTACATTTATTTGTAATCATGCATATAGTGACTGTCAGACAGACATGCATCCAGCTCGTGCTTTCCTGGCACTATAGTGCCCTGAGGGTGCCCCCACCCTCAGGGACCCCCTTCCGCCGGGCTGGATGGAGAGGAAGGGGTTAAACTTACCTCTTTCTCCAGCGCCGGGCGGGGAGCTCTCCTCCTCTCCTCCCTCTTCTTCCGTCACCGGCTGAATGCGCATGCACGGCAAGAGCCGCACGCACATTCAGCCAGTCCATAGGAAAGCATTCTCAATGCTTTCCTATGGACACTGGCGTCTTCTAACTGTGAAAATCACAGTGAGAAGCGCGGAAGCCCTCTAGCGGCTGTCAATGAGACAGCCACTAGAGGCTGGATTAACCCTAATATAGACATAGTTTCTCTGAAACTGCTATGTTTATTAAAAAAAAAGGGTTAAACCTAGCTGGCCCTGGCACCCAGACCACTTCATTAAGCTGAAGTGGTCTGGGTGCCTATAGTGGTCCTTTAAAGAAATACTGGATTTGACAAAAAGTAATTATTACTGATGACTTCACCGGAGTGGAGTGGCTGCAAAGAGAAGACTGTCCCAACATTGGTTTTTAGAGAGATTTAACACTAACAGGAACATTAAAAAGCAGTATATTGCCTCCACTGTTAGACTATTCTTACAAACACGGGACAGATTTAGACAAACTCTGCAGCACCAAAGGCTCATCGTTAGCTACCCCAATTTTGGCCTTGTCGTATTGTAAACCAACTTTTAACACCAATTTGTGGTATGAACATGGCACAACACACTTATATCATCTCTTCCGACATACCACTCTTATAGCCTTTACCAACTTTAGTGTCCAAACTTGCCCTTCCTGCAACCTCACAATACTCCTACCTGCAACTTAAATCTTTCCTCACACATAACTACGCTCCAAAAGTGCCACAAGGGGACGTAACACCAGGGTTGACGGAATGGGAACAACTGTGCATAAATGGTAACACCACCGTCTTGTAAGCCAATCTCCATGTGTTATAAATTGATATCTGACCACATATCTTTACCAACATCTAAGCCAGCCCAACAATGGGAACAAGACTTACAAGTCTGCAGGAGAACTATCCGAACATTAATAGCGCAGGTGGCGGGTTGCTCCCTGCCCTTTATGCCCCAAAGAGAAATTAAATGCTACATATTCATTTTAACAGCATAGCAATTGATTTCAAGAGCTTGTAAATCCCCTATAGCGCCCCAAATTTCAAAAGTGCTTAATGCCTTAGACAAACAACAAACAACACATATACGAAAAATGTTTTGGAACCATATTCTCCCCCTCCAAACTTTATACCGAATCATGGAACTTTTGGAACACATGGAGATCGGATAGCCCTCAAAACCTTGTAACAACAAGATGAAAGATGCCTAGGGTTGATTAGCACTGGGTTGACATATGCTTCTAGCCACAAACCAAGTAGAGTTATTGTTGAATGATAGAAAACATTATTATACTGGTTTGTATAGCACTTACACTTACTGAAATGCTCATTGTTTGGGGACTGCTACACCCACTGCTTTTTTTTTATGAAAAAAATAAATAAAATGTAGTAGCAACAACTCTTATCGTATAATAACTGTCTTAGTATTGGTTACTTGTATAATGCTGTGTAATGATAACTGATGGTGCCTCCCCTTTTAACTTTCTGTACCCCCCTACCTTATTGAAACCATAAACATTTTTTTTAAATAAAAAAGCAGTATATTTATTTTTAACAATGGAGTGTTTGTTTGCAATCAGAAGGAACATACCTGAACCTACATAGATCTTGCTGCTTTAAAGCGGCAATATCAGTCCTGAGATTATCATAAAGATAGAATTTTAATGAAAAAAATATATCTTGCTTAGGAATGTCACTGAAATGGTACCATTATAAAACACAGAAAGTAAAGAGTGAGCTGCCTCATATTGTGCAAGTAACAATTTCCTCCCAAAATACTAGTCTCCAATTGAGATTGGTACAGGGAAACCACATCTTCTCATGCACCTATGGTATCTGAATGACGGCACACAGGGTGCCCCATAAGACCTCATTTCGAGCGTCTGCACTATTGAGAGCAGAAAGATTGCACAACTCTGTCAGTGACAAAACAAAACAAAAAAAAACACAAAAAACACAAGTGACAACACAGCCTTAAAGCAATTAGAGAAAGCAGAGAAAAATCTTCAAACAGACTACTAGCCCACTGACAGCTCCAATCATAGAGCGAAAGATACAATCATAAACTTCAAGAACAGCAAATTACACTTCAAAAACACACATTGCTGATTTTCATAACGGCAAATGTGTGTTTATTACAGTCAAAGAGACAAATATCACTAGTTGGTGTCAACATATTGCATTGCAGTGTGAGGAATAGCATCAGATGAGAACATTTATTGTGTCAGTTTGATGTTATGTGTGTGTGTGTGTGAGGAAGTGTCAGTGTATTTTATTGTATGTCACTGTACATTTAGTGTTTGCATTTAGTTTGTGTAGTTGTGCCTACAGTGTGTGTAGTGTCAGTGTGTGTATATTTGTGTCAGGTTGTGTATGGTTGTCACTGTGTGTAGTTGTGTTTACACTGTGTGTAGTTGTGTTTACACTGTGTGTAGTTGTGTTTACACTGTGTGTACTGTCAGTGTGTGTAGTTGTGTTTATACTATGTGTACTGTCAGTGTGTGTAGTTGTGTTTACACTGTGTACTGTCAGTGTGTGTATATTAGTGTCAGGTTGTGTATGGTTGTCACTATGTGTAGTTGTGTTTACACTATGTGTACTGTCAGTGTGTGTAGTTGTGTTTACACTATGTGTACTGTCAGTGTGTGTATATTAGTGTCAGGTTGTGTATGGTTGTCACTATGTGTAGTTGTGTTTATACTATGTGTACTGTCAGTGTGTGTAGTTGTGTTTACACTATGTGTACTGTCAGTGTGTAGTTGTGTTTACACTGTGTGTAGTTTTTTTCCAAAAAGCAATAAGGAACTGCACTCAATCCAATCACTCTGAGACAGGGTGCAACCGAACCAGGACCAAGCATCAGGTCCCAATAACAATAAGCATGAAATACAAAATACAAAATGGTTTAGGCACTCCAAGGTTCAGAAATGGCAAATTTATTAAAGTACAAACCAACGTTTCAACCTACACATTCTTTGTTACATTGGGCTTCAATAAATTTGCCATTTCTGAACCTTGGAGTGCCTAAACCATTTTGTGTTTCATACACTGTGTGTAGTGTCAGTGTGTCTAGTTCTGTTCGCATTGTGTGTACTGTCACTGTGTGTAGTGTCAGTGTTAGGCTGCATTAATGTGTAGTGTCACTGTGTAGCAGTGTGTATCAGTGTGTGTAGTGTAACACTGTGTCAGTGGTAGGGTGTATTAACGCGTGTTGTTCTGTCAGTGTGCGTTGTGTCAGTGTGTTGTTGTTGTGTCAGTGTGTTGTGTCAGTGTTGTGTTGTTGTGTCAGTGTGTTGTTGTGTCAGTGTGTGTTGTGTCAGTGTGTGTTGTGTTGTTGTGTCAGTGTGTTGTTGTGTCAGTGTGTGTTGTGTTGTGGTGTCAGTGTGTTGTGGTGTCAGTGTGTTGTGGTGTCAGTGTGTTGTTGTGTCAGTGTGTTGTTGTGTCAGTGTGTTGTTGTGTCAGTGTTGTGTTGTTGTTGTGTCAGTGTGTGTTGTGTTGTTGTGTCAGTGTGTTGTTGTGTCAGTGTGTGTTGTGTTGTGTTGTGGTGTCAGTGTGTTGTGGTGTCAGTGTGTGTTGTGTTGTGGTGTCAGTGTGTTGTGGTGTCAGTGTGTTGTTGTGTCAGTGTGTTGTTGTGTCAGTGTGTTGTTGTGTCGGTGTGTTGTTGTGTCAGTGTGTTGTTGTGTCAGTGTGTTGTTGTGTCAGTGTGTGTAGTTGTGGGGTTGCTGTGTCAGTGTGTTGTTGTTGTGTTGTTGTGTCAGTGTGTGTTGTTGTGTCAGTGTGTGTTATGTCAGTGTGTGTTGTGTCAGTGTGTTGTGTCAGTGTGTGTTGTGTTGTTGTGTCAGTGTGTTGTGGTGTCAGTGTGTGTTGTGTTGTTGTGTCAGTGTGTTGTTGTGTCAGTGTGTTGTGTTGTTGTGTCAGTGTGTGTAGTTGTGGGGTTGCTGTGTCAGTGTGTTGTTGTGTCAGTGTTGTGTTGTTGTGGTGTTGTTGTGTCAGTGTTGTGTTGTTGTTGTGTTGTTGTGTCAGTGTGTTGTTGTGGTGTTGTTGTGTCAGTGTTGTGTTGTTGTTGTGTCAGTGTGTGTGGTGTTGTTGTGTCAGTGTGTTGTGTTGTTGTTGTGGTGTTGTTGTGTCAGTGTGTTGTTGTTGTTGTGTCAGTGTGTTATTGTGTCAGTGTGTTATTGTGTCAGTGTGTTGTTGTGTCAGTGTGTTGTTGTGTCAGTGTGTTGTTGTGTCAGTGTGTGTAGTTGTGTCAGTGTGTGTAGTTGTGTCAGTGTGTGTAGTTGTGTCAGTGTGTGTGGTTGTGTCAGTGTGTGTGGTTGTGGATTTGTTGTGTTGTTGTGTCGGTGTGTTGTTGTGTCAGTGTGTGTGGTTGTGTGTCGGTGTCGTGTGGTTCCTTCATCGTTGTTGTGTTGTTGTTGTGTCGGTGTGTTGTTTGTGTCGGTGTGTGTGGTTGTGTCGGTGTGTGTAGTTGTGGTTGTTGTGTTGTTGTGTCGGTGTGTTGTTGTGTCGGTGTGTGTAGTTGTGTCAGTGTGTTGTTGTGTCAGTGTTGTGTTGTTGTGTCAGTGTGTTGTTGTGTCAGTGTGTGTAGTTGTGTCAGTGTGTGTAGTTGTGTCGTTGTTGTGTTGTGTCAGTGTGTGTAGTTGTGTCAGTGTGTGTTGTGTTGTTGTTGTGGGGTTGCTGTGTCAGTGTGTTGTTGTGTCAGTGTTGTGTTGTTGTGTCAGTGTGTTGTTGTGTCAGTGTGTGTAGTTGTGTCAGTGTGTGTAGTTGTGTCGTTGTTGTGTTGTGTCAGTGTGTGTAGTTGTGTCAGTGTGTGTTGTGTTGTTGTTGTGGGGTTGCTGTGTCAGTGTGTTGTTGTGTCAGTGTTGTGTTGTTGTGTCAGTGTGTTGTTGTTGTGGGGTTGCTGTGTCAGTGTGTTGTTGTGTCAGTGTTGTGTAGTTGTGTTGTGGTGTTGTTGTGTCAGTGTTGTGTAGTTGTGTTGTTGTGGTGTTGTTGTGTCAGTATCTCACCCCTCCATGCTGCTGTTTGGCGATGTGGCCCCTGGGGGCCCCGCTGGGTTGGGTCTCGGTTCCTCCCCCCAGGCCGGGCAGATAACACTCGGCTCCCAGCCAGCACCACGTGACCTGCCCGGGCTCCGCACACGGACTGCTAACGGCGCCCACGGTAACCGAGCCGGGAGAACGGAGCGCGCATGCGCACACACCCCGCTTACTATCAACACCCTGACAGAGATGGAAAGGACGCTCTGCGCGTGCGCGGCCAATTATCCAATCAACACTCCGCCTCGCTGGGAGAACGCTCTGCGCGTGCGCAGCCAATTATCCAATCAACACTCCGCCTCGCTGGGAGAACGCTCTGCGCGTGCGCAGCCAATTATCCAATCAACACTCCGCCTCGCTGGAAGAACGCTCTGCGCGTGCGTGGCCAGCCAACCAATCAGAGCCGCCACTGAAAGAGCTTTCCGTAGCCCATCTGTACCAGAAAAAACGCTCTAAAAGAAATGTTCTCTCTTTCAGAGTGTTTAGATCTCTGCAGCCAGACAGGTCACGTGATAGCAGTTGGTTGTCCTGGATACATAGTATCAGTGCATGTTAGCTAGATATTATTAATTATTATTATTATCGCTATTATTATCATTATCGGTATCATCATTATTATTGGTATTATTATTATCGTTATTATTATCATTATCGGTATTATTAATTATCGGTATTATTATTATTATCGTTATCGGTATTATTATTATCTGTATTATTATTATCGTTATTATTATCATTATCGGTATTATCATTATTATTGGTATTATTATTATCGTTATTATTATCATTATCGGTATTATTAATTATCGGTATTATTATTATCGTTATCGGTATTATTATTATTATCGTTATCGGTATTATTATTATCGGTATTATTATCATTATCGGTATTATTATTATTATCGGTATTATTATCATTATCGGTATTATTATTATTATCGGTATTATTATTATCGCACCTTACAATATTATGAGAGGGGGAGATTTAATATAAATGAGACAATTACACAGTGACAGAGGAACAATAGGTAGATGGGGGCCAGCTCACAGTCTAGAGGCGGTGGGGTACAAATACACAACAGGGCAGCCGGGGTGACCGCCACCAACACGGTGGGAAGGTAGCAGAGCTGGAGGGGAGAGTGCAGTGCGGCTCTGTAGGAGAGCGAGAGACAGATATGGATAGGTATAGATGAGTTACAACACGGTGGGAAGGTATAAAAGCTGGAGGGGAGAGTGCAGTGCGGCTCTGTAGGAGAGCGAGAGACAGGTATGGATAGGTATAGATAAGTTACAACACGGTGGGAAGGTAGCAGAGCTGGAGGAGAGAGTGCAGTGCGGCTCTGTAGGAGAGCGAGAGACAGGTATGAATAGGTATAGATAAGTTACAACACGGTGGGAAGGTAGCAGAGCTGGAGGGGAGAGTACAGTGCGGCTCTGTAGGAGAGCGAGAGACAGATATGGATAGGTATAGATAAGTTACAACACGGTGGGAAGGTAGCAGAGCTGGAGGGGAGAGTGCAGTGCGGCTCTGTAGGAGATCGAGAGACAGGTATGGATAGGTATAGATAAGTTACAACACGGTGGGAAGGTAGCAGAGCTGGAGGGGAGAGTGCGGTGCGGCTCTGTAGGAGAGCGAGAGACAGATATGGATAGGTATAGATGAGTTACAACACGGTGGGAAGGTATAAAAGCTGGAGGGGAGAGTGCAGTGCGGCTCTGTAGGAGAGCGAGAGACAGGTATGAATAGGTATAGATAAGTTACAACACGGTGGGAAGGTAGCAGAGCTGGAGGGGAGAGTGCAGTGCTGCTCTGTAGGAGAGCAAGAGACAGATATGGATAGGTATAGATAAGTTACAACACGGTGGGAAGGCAGCGGAGCTGGAGGGGAGAGTGCAGTGCTGCTCTGTAGGAGAGTGAGAGACAGATATGGATAGGTATAGATAAGTTACAGCACTGTGGGAAGGTAGCAGAGCTGGAGGGGAGAGTGCAGTGCTGCTCTGTAGGAGAGTGAGACAGGTATGGATAGGTATAGATAAGTTACAACACGGTGGGAAGGTATGAGCTGGAGGAGAGAGTGCAGTGCGGCTCTGTAGGAGAGCGAGAGACAGTTAAGGATACTGTGACGGACCACTGGCACTCCAACTGAGTACCTCCGCCAATCGATGCTCCAATCGATGCTCCTAGTGCTCGCTGAGGGCTCCAAGCACTCCAACTGACACCATCAGTACTGCAGACCCCACTTCCAGCGATGCAGCTGCGCCAGGGTCTCACTGCAGCTTAATTGACAAATACTGGGTGGCCGCCATTCGTATAACGAACACGAGGTCGCGGACATTTTAAACACACGAACGCACAGCGGTGTTCGACGCTTAACTCATGGAACTAAAAACGGACACAGTTTGGCGCGAACACCGCTGAAGCCGCTGACTTCCCTTCTTGTTCGGTGGAAGTCCACAACGGTAGTTGTACCTGACTGCACTATACCCCAGATAGGAATCCCACGGAGCTCATTCGTATGAGAACTGACTTTGTAAAGACTTTGGCTCCATGGCGATTAAGCTGTATTCGTGTGGTCTGAGCGCCATTCGCTTAATAATGTGCGCTCAGACCTGAGCTATCTGAGGATATGTTAAATGTATAGTTTTATTGTAACTTGCGTCACATAGTTTATTTTAATAGAAATTCATGTATTGGTATCCCCACATGCATAATGGCGATTTGCCTTTGTCCTGGGAGATAATTGAATTACTTCTCAATGATCTCCAGGGCAGAGGGGAGGAAGCCATGATGTGTTGTGGGAATATAATGTGACTGTGTGTCCTGGTTGGCTGATTGTCTGTCTTTTGTCACAGTCTCCCATTTGGTCCCCTAGGGGAGTGTCCACCAGGTGGGAGACCTGCATAAATACTGGGCAGGTAGCCCTCATTAAACAGACCACTGCTTGACCCTCAACACGGAACGTGGATGCTTGGATGCTTTTCCTATTCGTCTGTTAGCAGCGATTCGTATGGTTCCTGTTCGTGTGTTTGGAGTGCTATATTGTATGCCGTTCAGGAGTTTGAAGCATTCCCTTACATGCGGTTCGTGAGGTTGGTGTTCTACAGTAGCTGTGCCTGCATCTCTGAAAGGGGACGATCGCCTAAACGGTTTTAACCCCTTGTGTGCTGAAACAGTCCGTTACACTGAGGTTTAAGTTTAGAAAAAAAAAAAACTCTGACAGTTGTCCGAACTCATTAACATCTTTTGTTTTAAAAGAAAAACACAACAGAGTTCAATGATACAAATTTTAAATAATGATATAGATAGATAAATTTAAGATTATATTTATTAGTATCTCCAACAAATGCAATGAATACACACAGACAGCTGAACACATTCACACCCCGACTGCTTAATACATACACACACCAACACACAGACAAACTGCTAAATACACAAACAGTCCGCTAAATACACACACACACTGCTGAATACATAAAGACTGCTGAATACATATACTGCATTGAGGGGTGCAGTGTATGTGTTTGTGTGTGAGGGGTGCTGTGTGGAGGGGGGCAGGGGTGCTGTGTGTGGGGGGGTGGGAGGGACACAGCCATCCCTGGTGGTCCAGTGGTGGTAAGTTTGTAGGACAGAAGCCTGCAGCTCTCCTGTCCTCTCGCGCGATGCTGTGTGGAGCGTTGCCATGGTAACACGCAGCAACACTTCACACAGCTCGCGGGAGGACAGAAGAGCTGCTTCCTAGATGCCTCCCCTCTGCTTCCGGTCCTGCCAACTGCAAGCAGGTGCCTACTCTACATTGATGGCAAACCTAAGGCCGCGTGCCCACCTGTGGCACACATGCCATAGGTTCGCCATCACTGCTCTAGCATGTAAGCTCATTGAGCAGGGCCCTCAACCAGTGGTGTATCCTGGTTTTGTGCTGCTCTAGGCAGGACAAAACTCAGGCGCCCCCCTCCCCGCGCCATTCCCACCCAACCCTTCCCCCCCACCCCGCCTTCTAAATACACACACACACACACACACACACACACACACACACACACACACTTTAACCACCCCCCCAGCCTCCTTACCTTTGGGAATGCTTGGGGGTTCTCTTTCTCCCTCGGGGTCCAGTGGCTGCTGGCAAGGGAGCACTTCCTCTGAGCTGTCTGCTCAGCTCCCTCGCGCGCCGCAGACTGAGGCTGGGAGCCGGAATATGAGGTCATATTCCGGCTCCCAACCTCACTCTGCGGCGCGCGAGGGAACTGAGCAGACAGCTCAGAGGAAGTGCTCCCTTGCCAGCCGACCGCCCAGCAACCCCCGACTGCCCAGCAGCCAGACCATCAGCCCACTCAACATGTCAGTTAGCCGCAAGGCTAACAAGACATTTGTCCTTGGCATTTGGGGGCGGCTTTTACAGCCAAACTGTAAGAATAGCTGAAATTGAGAATTGTTCCAGTTCAGCTATTTTTTACTTTCGTGAATAACCCTGTATGTGTTTTGTTCTTTTCTTTGTATTACAGCAAAATGCCATCTAGGCGTTCTAGATACATCATTAAGAACCACAAAACAAAAGGTCCACTGGCCTAGAAGTGTCTCAAAAACCAAAAATGGTATTTAATATTCATAACAAGATTCTTTATTTTTCCTGTTAGTTAGGATTGGTTTCCTTTAATCCCATGGATGCACTGGGACATATTTCAGCCTGCCCAAGACTGCTGGGCGTTAGAGAGCTGGACAGCAGACTATTTCCAGCTGATGATTATTTCTGCATTCAATTTAATGAAAGAAAGACTGGCAAGGTTTTTTAATCAATACATTAGTGGCACCACAGCCACCAAGCATGCCACATAGTGTTATTTAGACCGCATCTACTCATTAGCATTATTGAAGCTGTTAAGAGATGTTGTGGAGGCAGTCCTTACAGTTTTTGTCAAAGACTTGTGTATCAGAATGAGCCTGAGCCTGTCAAATTGTTGGCACCAAAAAAAAAAAAAAAGAATTGGCAATGTGGTGCCACAACACCTCATCCAAATATTCTGGAACCCTGAAAAAGGTGAGACTAACAAACTGATGTACTAGATTTAAGAGCCAGGTTATGGGTACCTTTATTATCTGCATTTGATTTTGTCAAACTACTTTAATATGTTTGGGAGGGGAGGGTGGAATAATACACACAAAACTTCCTTGAACTCTGCAGTAAAGAGTACAATGAACTGTAGTTATTCTGAGGCTTGATGTGTCCCTTTTATTATTTTCCAATTCAACAGCATAATATGTGGAGTTTAATTATTAACCATCAAGCCACTTAACAAGGGCAGATCCTCCCACGAGGTCTTTGGGTGTACGTTGGTGCCCTTAATGTCAGTCGGTCCACTTGCTCCCCCCCACACCCCTGCAAAAAAAAAAAAATTATATATATATATATATATATTTATATATATATTAACCACAACACTGCTCTATCAGGTGTGGTCGGCCCTGATCTAAAATATAACCTTTTTAAAACAAGCCCAAAATAAAGTTGTGCCACAAACGTGATAAATTACATTTATGGCAAACATAACAGCCTCACTAGTACTTGCTTGAGTTGCTGACAAAGTATTTAAAAATTGCCCAGGAACAGGCATAATTCATATGATGCAGGAGGAATTCATTGCATTAGACAGTGATGGGTCAGAACATCTGACAGAAGAACCCCAAAATGAACTATATGACAGCTACTCACTACAGGTCAACATTGTCATGAGCAACCCAGAAACATGTAGAACGGACGTGTAATCAAGAAGAGATCGTGGATTTGGCAACCCCAGACGTAGTGCACACAAATTAGGACAGAATCATACCCAAATGTCATACATAATATTTTACTCTAATCAATGTATATCTAAGCGGACACCCTTTCATCCAAACAATCCCTTCTAAGGCTTCAACTGGGTGACAGCACTACCATTATAACAGACAGGACATTAAAACAGGACTGGCAACATTTTTTAAAGTTGTTTCATAAAGATCTATTTGCACTGAATTCCTAGTGAAAATGTACAACTTTGTTTTTATTATTATTATATATATATTTTTTTTATTAAGCTTGACCAATTTACATTACTCCAACACCACAAACAATATTCTACCCCTTTGGATATGAAAGACCACACTGATTGGTTTAAGAGTCTGGTTTTAAGATACATTAAAAACAGAAGTGCATTTTAAATTCAAGATAAACATGCTCCCAGACACAACTGATAGCACCCCCACCATGACAGACGAAACACTGCATTGGTATTCAACTAATCTCAGACCTCATTGTATTGAAACACTTTGCTGTACAGTCACCCAAACACTCTACATTAGTAAGATATATATTGATGATTTTGTGCATATTAGAACCAGTTTACTTTTCTCTTAAACTGATATAAACACATGGGGAGATTTCTGATTATTCAGCATTGTCTCAGAGAAGGATCTCTAACTACAAGCTGTCGATTGAGCCAATGACTATATGTAAAAACAAATTGTTATCCAGTAATATAACGGAATCCGTTAAGAGTCGCTATGACATAGATCACCATGGAGCATGCTTTACAAAGATGCACTAGATGCTGTATATGTTTCCATTTAGTCCCGATCACTATAACCATTATACCTTTAGTAACATAATTAGATTAAAAAGTCACACTGTGAAGTTTAAGACAATTTTTGTAAAAATAAATAAAAATAAAAAATAATAATAAATGATAAAGAAAAGAGAAAAACAATGAGGTTTGAAAGAGAATGCTAAAAAGAAATTAGATTTTATTTAAAGACTATTCCAGACTGACAGAATTAACTCACTCCCAAACAAAAGAGGGAAAAAGTGCTGAGAAAAGCCAAAATAAATCCATTCTTCCCTGTCAGTATGATCTCCACAAATGGGAAAAACATCTCTGAGTTCAAACAAACAAAATATTGTGTGTGTGACAGATTGTACAGCTCTTGGAAGAAGCATTAATTTTTTTTTTTTATTATTTTTGTAGTGGAGAAGGAAGAAGAGATAGAAGTGTACGGTAGGATTAAAACTCAGTGGGTCTCTTTCCATATTTGGCGACAAGCGAGTGCAAGAAACGCGTCCATGGATGTCCAATCAGTTTTGCGAGTCTGCGTTCTGGCCAGGGGACGAGGGTTTCAGGTTTTTTTGAAGCACGTGGGCATCAGCTGGCTCTATCCTCTTGTAATAGTTTTTCTTTGTTTCAATGATCTCAAAGCCAAATTTTCTGTAGAAGTCTATGGCAGATTCGTTACTGATCTGGACATGCCTGGGTAATAAATAGGAAACGAATGTTATAGTCTTGTCTTAGTATTAGGGGGGGAAAAAATTTAGAAAATCCTAGATGCTATATATTTTAAAATTAAACTACCAAGCTTACAGATATTCACCATAAAAATAAAATGCTGGTCCGGATTTTATTTCATTTAGAACCCTTAGTTTAGCAGCCAGTTTGACAAATAAATAAAAATCACACTGTCTGCTAAACTCAGCAAGCATTTGTCAATCTATAAATTCTTACATACAGAACAAGCATTTAATGTACTATGAGCATTTTCAGAGACACAGTAAAATAACATTTACAATGCACTACCATGCCCATACAGGAAGATCTTTAACAACTACAAACAGATGTAAGCACAACACCCTTTATGTTGCTGTAGGTTTTAGTGAAATATCGGAAATTAATTACCTACAAACGATGTTAAAAGACCACTATAGGCACCCTGACCACTTCAGCTTAATGAAGTGGTCTGGGTGCCAGGTCCAGCCAGGATTAACCCTTTTTTCTATAAACATAGCAGTTTCAGAGAAACTGCTATGTTTATATTAGGGTTAATCCAGCCTCTAGTGGCTGTCTCATTGACAGCCGCTAGCGGCGCTTGCGTGCTTCTCACTGTGAAAATCAGTGAGAAGACGCCAGCGTCCATAAGAAAGCATTGTGAATGCTTTCCTATGAGACTGGCTGAATGCGCGCGCAGCTCCTGCCATGCATGCTCATTCAGCCAAGGAGGAGGAGGAGAGCTCCCCGCCCAGCGCTGGAGAAAGAGGTAAGTTTAACCCCTTCCTCCCCCCAGAGCCAGGCGGGAGGGGGACCCTGAGGGCACTATAGTGCCAGGAAAATGAGTATGTTTTCCTGGTACTATAGTGGTCCTTTAATGGGCTTTAACATTCAAAGATGTTATTGATGACCCTGCTCAAAACTAGCTTATTACTCAGGCTCATTACTATAGGAGTTGTAGCTAGATATGTACAATAATACAGTACACTTTTTTTTTTAAAAACAATTTTACCTCACAGATTCAAAGCACTGTTTCTATCCCCCCTAATTCTAACCACCCCACCTAGTCAGTGTGCTGTGGCTACCCCCCACCCAGTGAAAGAGTTGAGACCACCGCACCTAGTCATTGTGCTGTGACTCCCCCCCCACTCTAACCACTCCACCCAGTGAAAGAGCTGTGACTACCTTCGCCCCAAGTTAAAGAGCTGTGACTACCCGCACCTTCCATTCTAACCACTCCACTCAGTGAAAGAGATGTGACTATCCCCCATCCATTCAGAGCATGGTGACTATTCCCATGTCTAATCCCTCCACATACTCAGTGCTGTGACCGTTCCGCATTCTAAGCACCGCACCAGCTCAGAGTTCTGAGACTATCCACCATTCTAGTCCACCCCATCCACTCAGAGCGCTGTGACAATTCCCCATTCTAATCACCCCCACTCACAGCATTGTGACTATTCCCATATCTAATCAACCTGCACAATGAGAGCTCGGTGACTATCCTACACATTGTAATCAGTCTATTCATTCAGTACTCTGATTATCTGGCACATTCGATCACCTTGCACATTATTGGTACAATGTTTTAACTATCTGAACACACAAACTAAATATTTTGCACTTCTTGTTGCATGCACGTGTGTAAATAATCTACATCTAGACAACTCTGTTACAAGCTCTGTGTGGGATTTAACGTGTAGATTAGCAATTATTGGATCCTGGGTTCAGAAATTCTACACAACATGCGAGTGACACCATTTTATTATGAGGATACAACCCTTTGCACTGCCAGCAGGGATTATTGGGTATTTCACCTCCTGACTGCCATTTGCAAAGTTAACTAAAATATTTGTGTTATATGTTGGTTTGTAGAAATTACAAAAGGCATGGACACCATTAATGTAATCCTTAAAGGTTTGCTTTATGAGAAAGATCATGACACACTTTGTGTAGCAGTATTTACGAAAATGTTTAACATCATTACATGGGACAGAAGAACCTCAGAATATGTGATTACGGGTAACTGTGTCTAATTCGATTTAAAGAAAAAAAGTGGGTGGGGGAAAAGTACCAAAAATAATGTTACAAGCAAAGGGGAAGAACATAAGTTTATTTTTGGATTATACATCAGCAGTACATGCCTTTCTCTATAGTTCCAGCTAGAGCTAGTGGCTGAAGAGGCATCGCTGACTGCCAAGTAAATGTCAATAAATACATCACATGGAAACAATTCCCAGTTTAAAGCTGTGGAATATAGTTTAGAAAACCAAGTGCTGAAAATATGCAGGATTCGACAAACAAAAAAAGGAAAAAACTGTGAATCATTCATTTTGGACCCAAAATAAAATAAAAATATGAAGCTCATTATCCTGAGAAAGATTCAAACATATTATATTATGTGAGCAGGTTTCAGCCTCTCGCTTAATTTGAGACTCACAAACAGCTAGCCAATCTCTACGTACTATTACTTGGACTCCGACTAACAGTCACATAGTGAGTCATTGGTTAGAACAGTGGTTCCCAAACATTTTAGGTTCAAGACGCCCTTAATATTTCAATATTTTTCCAAGGCAACCCAAGTCGAAACAATTTTCTAGGTTGTATATATGTACAGCGCTGCAGCGTGTGTGTGTGTGTGTGTGTGAGAGTGTGCGTGTGGGGGAGGGGACAGTGTGTGTGTGCGTGTGGGGGAGGGGACAGTGTGTGTGTGGGTATGGGGGGGGGACACAATGTAGACTTTTTTTTTATTAAAAATAAAAATGATGTCCCCCCTCCCTGCTTACCTTTACCTAGGAGGGTGGACAGTAATGATCCCTGGTGGTCCTAGTGGGGAAGCCCTGGTGGTGAGAGTGAACTCTAGAAGCCTCAGAAGCTGCTAGAGATCAATCTCGCGAGATTCAGAGCGTTGCCATGGTAACCACGGCAACGCTCTGAGCTCGCATGAGGAGCACTTGGCGGAGCTGCAGTTTACAGCTCCCCCGGGTTCTCTCTCCCTCCCTCTCCTGCCAGCTGTCAGCAAAGTGCAAGCAGGCCGGAGAGGGAGATCTCTGATCTCCCCTCCAATCCCGCTGACCCGGTAGAGGAGAGTACGGCTCACGAGTTCCCATCGCATCGCCCCAGGGCGCCGGGGCACACAGATTGAGAACCTCTGGGTTAGAACACTGCTATTTTTTATTTTTAAATTGTTAAAGGTTTTACAAAAGTAAAAGAAACTGGAATGTCTTGTGTCAGGTTTTAATTTACAATGTCTTAAATTGATGATCGTCTATGCATATGTACCAAAGTACAACTAAATTGATTGGGATTTGTAAATAAACAGACATCCTAATAAAAAAATCATTTTAAGCAAGAAATGCCTTAGTGAACTATTTTTAAGTAAAATAATTCATTGGCTTGTGAAACAATTTGAAAGTGGAATCCATTAACTTTACATTGTGTGCATTGATTTAGGAACCTCTTTACCTACTGTTCACCAGGTCATGTGTTTTGTTAAAATTAAAGTTTGTATTATCTACTGTACAGTGCTGCAGAATGTTGCTACTGTATAAATAATTTGAAATGATGTGTAACAAGAGACTTACAAATAAATGTTGTCAAAGGTGCCATCTTTTTCGCAAATGTTTAAAACGTGGTTCAACATTTTTGTTCCTGTAAATATAAAAATAAGTTAAATGTAGGCAATTCTTAACTTCGCTCCCAAAATAAAATGTGCTGAAGACAAACTGTCCACCCAAACAAGTCTGTTGATAAGAGCAGCATTCAAATAAATCCAAACAATGTGCTCAGGTTCACGGGTGAGCGAGCATAGCACTATGGGACATAAAAGGAACAGTGCTGTGGGCTTCCCAAAATAATGTAATAATGTGAAGATATAAATAATAACAATGTAAAGATAAATTCCATCTAAACATTGTGCTGTTCAACATACAGATTGACACACAAATCTATTTAAACATAGATCCCCATTTAAACGGTATGCTTGTTTGGGAAGTGCCCTTTCACCTACAGTTCCCATATGACAAATATGTTTATCTTGTTTATCTATTGTACAGCAATGCAGAATATGTTGTCACTATAGACCTCTGACGAAGAACTGAGAGAGGATAGCAAGAGAGTAAACATCTACTCCCAGAACAGCAACTACAGCACACGATCTGTGCTTACTTCCTAGTCATTGCTTCTTGAGTTGATTCGGAGTAAAGGAACGAAGTGACTGATGTCACTCTATTCATGAGGAACAATTACCCTACTTGGAGAGCTGTTGCCAAGCAGGGCAATGCAATCTGAGGGTGAGACACAGGTGGAATCTGAAGTGAGTGTTACAACCACAGAACTGCGTTCATGGTGGCAGTGGAGCCAAGAGAGATAGCAGTGTTAACATCTAAAATGTAAAGTGAATATACAATCTACCTCAGTGTAATGATATATTATTTCCTTGGGGCAGGGAGAGAAAGGTCCAATTCAAATAAAACTGTAATGACCGGTTTTCAGTAAAGGGACACTATAGTCACCTGAACAACTACAGCTTAATGTATTTGTTCAGGTGAGATCTATAGCTCCCTGCAGGCAATCTAATGTAAACACTGTATTTTCAGAGAAAATACAGTGTTTACATTGATTGAAAGGAATACCTCCAGTGGCTGTCACTCAGACAGCCACCAGAGGGACTTCCTATCATGTAGGGCCCTAAAAGGGCCTTGTACACGTCAGACGTATTAAGATACTGTGTGCGCGCCCCTTCTCTCTTCTGCCTGTCAGCAGAGGAGAGGGGGCGGGCAAAGACCGCGAGCTGAGCTATCAGTCACCTCAGCTCGCGCACACCGCGGGCATGCGCGGTAGTGCGCCCAGGACTTCAGAGGGCAGCATGAATGCCACCCTATGAAGTATGTGCACACGCGCATGTTCCAAATGGAAGCGTCTGATTGCTCCCTGCTCGCGCCTGCCTATTTCGTCATTTTGACGCAGCTTCATGAGGCTCCCGGTGCTGGAATCAGGTGAGTAAACTACTCTGCCTAGAGAGTCCCTTTAACTTATATGGAAATGTATAACTTTCTGCTACATACAATTATACATTATGTTGAAGGAATACTAACTTTTTTGTTAACTTTTTTGTTAACCTTAATCTAAATCTTTGTGTTGCACCATCTCATTTTTTTAATTTATGTATATTTATATTATTGAAGAAATCCCTTTCCGCTTTTCAGACAGCAATCTTTATGCACCTGCATTTGCCAGTATGAAATTTGTTCTCCAGAGATTTTTCACACTATGCCAGGAATATCTGTGCTGAAGCAGTTATGTCTGTTTTGAAATGTCTTTTTGGAATGCAAGGCATGAAGTGCAACACTTACCTATTCCCAGTCTACGGTACGGTGCCAAACACCCTAGCGTCATGATGTAAAGCCGCTTCTGATTTTGAGAATGGTCCACTCTACAGCACACAGCACCCACTGCAATGTCATTGAAATATGCTGAAGGGAGAAGAGACAAACTTAGCATATTTTGTGAGTAAAATCCTCTGGGTATGATTAACAAGAGTGAAATCGGGTGCAAAATGAAGAGTACTGTGTAAAACACTCGAACGGAAAACAGTAACATTCTAAAATGGATATTCTTGAGATTCTAACAAAATAATAGCGGTTTATGTTGGCTGCATGGAATAGAAAAGCAATGTCAGTTGGCTGTAAAAGGATAAGCTTGCAATTTCAGAAATTCTCTAAACAAAGGGAGATTTCTATAAAAGTTTTCAACTTTGTTTACTACAGTTTACAAGGATAAAGTGCAAATAAATTAACCCTCTGTGGAAAAGTGTAGATGAGAAATACATTGCTTATATGGGCTTCTGAAGAGTGAAGGGGAAATATTTGGCAAGTATTTAAGTATTGGCACCATTTCAGGATAAGAAGTTGAACCATTTAGAGGTTATGGTACCTGGAGTGTTTAAATGACCACTACAGTGCCAGGAAAACACTTGTTTTCCTGGCACTATAGTGCCCTGAGGGTGCCTCCACCCTCAGGGTCCCCCTCCTGCCAAGCTCTAGGGGGAGGAAGGGGTTAAACTTATCTCTTTCTCCAGCGTCAGGCAGGGAGCTCTCCTCCTCCTCGGCTGAATGCGCATGCGCAGCAAGAGCCACGCACGCAGCCAGTCTCATAGGAAAGCATTCACAATGCTTTCCTATGGACGCTGGCGTCTTCTCACTGAGGCTGGATTAACCCTAATATAAACACAGCAGTTTCTCTGAAACTGCTGTTTATAGAAAAAAGGGCTAATCCTGGCTGGACCTGGCACCCAGACCACTTCATTAAGCTGAAGTGGTCTGGGTGCCTATAGTGGTCCTTTAATTAGAACAATCATAATAAAAAGTTTAAAAGGAATCTCACTCTATTACTTTATGTCCTATTTGAAAAACACGAGGAAGGAGTAAGAAAAAGATTCATCAATTTGCTCTTGTATTGTAATGAAATGTTCGAAAGCACACCTTGGAATTTTTAACGCTGAAACTATGGAGCTTCTCTACAATGATTATGGGGGGGAAATATTAAAAGGTTGTCTGGTTTCCAGTGTGATTGCTCCACTTTTGCCACTTCATAAATAAGCAAAGCTCAATCAATTTTTTTCATAGTTTGTTGCAAAATCAGTTGATGGACGCAAGTCTCTTTTCAGCTATGTAACTATGATACGGCATTTGAACCCCTTACCGAGTTTGGCGAGCTCCCCAACCTCCAACACGTCTTTGTAGAACTTGTCATTATAGCTCACTGGGAAAATCACTTGATTTAACCGCTTCAGTTGCTTTATGTTATGTGGCGTCACATCTCCCAGCTCAATTCGGCTACTGGAACAAAAAAGAACACAGTTAACTACAGTATTAAGATCCCCAACTCCCAATCCGTACTAAATAACCAGATTTAGCTTGTTTTCTTTAGATACAACTAGGCTTTACGGCATGCTATTCCTGCACTCGGGAATGTAATACAGGCCTCTGAGAATCATCTCTACCTCAATGTATATGTTACTTCATCTCTACCTCAATGTATGTTCTGTTGATACTTGCTGCTCACCTCTTCACAACACTCTGATTTAAACATTATCTGTTAGTACTATATTCCCAGAACTATTACCTTGAAGAAAAATACTGACCACTATACTGTATGTTCCAAAATATCTATAACCAATTATAGCCCTATACTTACAGCCTTCACTTAAAACTCCTAGGCTGGCAGAGCCAAGCGGCTTCCAATAGGAAGAAGTCAAATATTTGGAAGGAATAATTATGCAAAGCAAGTTATTAATATGGCTGCCCTTACTGACAGACAATAAGGGAGGTCTCCAATACATTCAAAGGGACCCTATAGTCACCAGAACAACTACAGCTTATTGAATTTGTTCTGGTGAGTAGAATCATTACCTTCAGGCCTTTTGCTGTAAACACGGTCTATTCAGAGAAAATGCAGTGTTTACATTACAGCCATAGGCATGCGCACAGGGTGTGCCGGGGCACACCCTAATCACACCTCCGTGCCGCACTGCCTTAGTGCAGACCAACATGTCGGGTCCTTGGTCTATGACCGATGACCCGGCGGCTTGCCCACAACGCCGCCGGGTGTGAGGCCCCTCCTGTCAGTCTGCTGTGCACGAGATCCAGCCTCATTCTGCAGCTCCGCCGCTATCTCCAGCCTGTCAGAGCGTTGCCCGGCGGAGCTGCAGACTGAAGAGAGAGGGCACCCACTGGACCACCAGGAAAGGTATTTAAACCTCCTTATTACCCCCTGTCACTCACTGCCCCCTGCCCCTCTACCCCCTGCCATTGCCCCTCTACCCCCCTAACCCGTCACTAACCGTCTACCCCCACTACCTCCTGTCGCCCACACAGTGCACCCCTCACAATCATACACACTATGCCACACACACTGCTTGCCTCAGTTACACCGCACCGCACCCCTCACAGTTACACCGCACCCCTCACAGTTACACCGCACCGCACCACTCACAGTTAAAGCGCACCGCACCCCTCACAGTTAAAGCGCACCGCACCCCTCACAGTTACACCGCACCGCACCCCTCACAGTTACACCGCACCGCACCCCTCACAGTTACACCGCACCCCTCACAGTTACACCGCACCGCACCCCTCACAGTTACACCGCACCGCACCCCTCAGTTACACAACACCCCTCACAGTTACACAACACCCCTCACAGTTACACAACACCCCTCACAGTTACACAACACCCCTCACAGTTACACAACACCCCTCACAGTTACACAACACTATACATTCACAATTACACACACACACCTATGTAGATTTGTGTATGTGTGTGTGTATATATATACACATACATACATACACACACACAAACATACACGCAGCGTGTTTGTGCTTTAGGGTGCACACCCTAATGCAACAGGCTGCGCACGCCTATGATTACAGCCTAGTGGTAACTTCACTGGCCACTCCTCAAATAGCTGTTAGAGATCCTTCCTGGGTCATGGCTGCCTAAAATGCATCCAAACATTCAGTATCTCCTCCCTCTGCATGCAGACACTGAACTTTCCTCATAGAGATGCATTGATTCAATTCATCTCTATGAGAAGATGCTGATTGGCCAGGGCTGTGTTTGAAATCATACTGGCTCTGCCTCTGTCAGTCTCAGCCAATCCTATGGGGAAGCATTGTGATTGGATCAGGCCACCACTTCTGATATCAGCAGACAGCTTGCTTTTCTGAGGCAAACAGCATGCAGAGTTACAGCTTCAGGCTTGAATACAATAAGATTTTACTATATTTATGGAGGCATGAGGGACCCAAGGGGGCTAGATGGTGGTTTAAACACTTTAGGGTCAGAAATACATGTTTGTGTTCCTGACCCTATAACGATCCTTTAAAGCAATTATTTAAAGCCATAGGAGAACAGAGTTAGCTAGGTTTATCAAGCAATAGGAAAAAGGATACTTTAGATTATACTCGAAACTGAGAACATAAAAACTGGACCACATGCTCCGACCAATTACATACACACGCATCAAAGCCTTTCCAACTGTAAACATTGATACAAAATGAATGTTCTGTAGAATGAAAACTGTATACACTTCCATTGCAAGATAAGCCAATACTCAGGTGTGATATGTTAATCAGAAGGAAAACCAACCTTTAGATAACAGGTCATATTCTGCGTCATCCAGATGCACAAATGGCAACGACGACTTCTGCTTATAAAGTTTTATTTCTTTTTTGCTTCTTTCAGTAAAGTTATATCTAAAAGTTCCTACCTCAAAATAACAAGAGAAGTATGTGGTATGAATCATCTTAAAACCCAAGAATATTTGCCTTTTGAAGGCTAAAGGCCAATAGGTCTTCTCTTGCACTGGTGGAATTTATACTTGTGCTTTGCTAACAGTGCAAGTCCCCAGGAATAGTCCCCAACACAAATATCACAGGCTTCCAATAGCACAGGTGGATTTTACATAAGAAACGTAACTCTCCTGTGCTTGAAACAACATGGTCAGAGTCTGTAGGATGTATTGGAGAGTGGATTAGCAGATTGTAATTAGTTTTTTCCCAGGTTGCAGTTTCCAAAATGTTAAATTTGGAGATTGCGAGAAGGATTAAGTACTTACCAGGACCCAGCAAGGGCTGTATAGCTCATTGCTATAAATAGCTTGTGACCATCAGTGCAGGAATGTGTAGTCCAGAAATAAATCCTAGTGTTGATCTGTCCGCGGAGCTAGAGCTATATTTACAGCTATCATTGCAGAGTTTAACAAACATACACCCTAGGCTCAAAGCTGTCACGGATAGACTATATCCGACAAATGCTTATCAAAAGTGCGGTGCTTATGGGGACAATCAACAAGTATTGATCCAGGCTACGAATTTATATGAGACACTAAATGCACCAAAACAACTTTAGCTTAATGAAGCAGTTTTGGTGTATTGATCATGCCCCTGCAGTCTCACTGCTCAATTCTCTGCTATTTAGGATTTAAATCACTTTGTTTATATAACCCTAGTCATACCTCCTGCATGTGACTTACACAGCCTGCCTAAACACTTCCTGAAAAGGAACGTAGATATTCAAGATTTCTATACTGCACATGCCGTATATTCTAGAAATTCCTATCTCCTGCTCTATTAATAAGCTCATAGACCCAGCAGGAGCCTCGTTTCTGATTCAATTCAACAGCAGATTTATTAGAGACAAGTGCAACGTTTCGATCTCAGATCTTTCTCAAGCTTCTCTGAGATCGAAAACGTTGCACTTGTTTCTAATAAATCTGCTATTGAATTGAATCCCGAGTGCCTGGACAACATCTTTGTTATAACAGTTGCAGTGGAGACAGCCAACCCCAGGTCTGGGAGCACGAAGATCCTAACTAGAGGGCGGTATTACTAAAAAAAAAATTCCAATAAAAAGAAACGTTCTAGTCACCAGAACCACCACAGCTTAATATAGTAGTTCTGGTGTCTATAGCATAACCCTGCAAGCTTTTTTTTTTTTTATTCTTTATTTTTGTGTCACGCTGCACAAGTGTCAGGGTTGACATTCAAACATTTGAAGCATAATCGTCCGTTCCATACATAAGGCAATGCACGATAAATAGTACAGTACGCAGCATGAACATTTTAGATAATTTTTGATTACAATTAGGTAGGTAACTCGGGTGACCTCAGTGGTCTATATCGATATGGCTATCTGGTGTTATGTGGTGGTTCGTGTTCCACTGAAGAGAACATTCCCGTCGGCTGTGGCTGCCTTGAGTTATGACTCTGGTGTGTCAGTGGTGGGGGGGGGGGGGAATTCAGAGCATTATCATTTGTTTTAACTCCGCGTCTGGCTGATGTCTCACCAATGTGGCCATGCGTGTTGCAACTAAGTTGGGTACCTGGTAAGGTATGATATGTGAGGTGTCGCTACGAAGGAGTGGTGTGTGGTTAACTAGAACTTGGCGTGGGGTGATTAACTGTGAGGTAAGGTAACAGCAGACAGAGTAAAGTCAATCCCCTAGCAGGAGTAGGCATTGTGTCGCCTATGCGATAAGTCTCTCATGGTGGTGCGTTAGGCCCTTGCGTCTTCCTAGCTTGTCTGGGCGTGAATTCCTGTACATTGGCCAGGTTCGTCAGAATGCCCAAAGTGGTCAACGGGGCTTCTAGGTATTGGGCGCTGTGTACTCTGTGGGCAGTCCCTCCATGAGAAAAAAAGGAGTGCTCGTGGGGTTCCCCATTTGTAAGGTATGTCCTTGTTCCGCAGATGTTGCAGGCAGGGTTGCATTCCTTTTCTCCAGGCTAGGGTATTCCTTGTTAAGTCTGGGAAGATAGACAGCGTAGCATCTTCAAAGAGTAGCGGGGTTTTTCCCCGGAGTGCTGCGAGAATCAGTGCCTTTTGTTGAAGCGACTAGAATCGCATGATTAGATCCATAGATGCGGTCGCTGGAGCCCTTGCTGGTTTTGGCAGCCTAAACATTCCATCAATTTGTATAGATTTAGTTTTCTTAGGCGGCAGTATAGTCGCCAGTAGGCGTCTAATAAAGTGTGGTGCCTCTTAACCCCACGGAGTCAGGTATACCTCTGACCTTTACATTATATCTCCTGCGTTGGTCTTCCATGGCGTCAATTCTGCTCGTGGTGTTGGTTTGTTGGTGTTGTAAATCGGCTAGTTATTGTTCCACAGCTGTCAGCCTTGAGTGCTGGAAGTGGCCTCAAGCTTTGTTATTTTGGAGGCTGCTGATTCAATGGCTGTTTTATTATAGGCCATGTCGGCGGCTATATTTTTGCTCAGTTCTTCCAGCATCTTTTGGAGCAGGTCTGCTGTTACTGGGTCACCTGGTTTTGGTAGTGCCTTGACTGGTTCTGATGTTTTGCTCGCAGTGGCTCCCTTGCCTAGGTCGGCTGTGAAGTCCTCCGGTTTGTAGGGGCTTTGTCTGCCCTCGTTTTCTTCGCTTTTTTGCCCATAGCGATCTGTGTTATGCTGCCGAGGTGAGTGTCCGCTTTGAGGTTCGTTACCCCCGTTTAACAACTCAATTTCTCCGGCTGAGACACGGAGCTCTGATGCATGCGACCGTCTCGTTCTCCGGCTAGCTCCGCCCCCACTGCAAGCTTTTTAATGTAAACGCTGCCTTTTCAAAAAGTATTAATTCAACAGCAATTTCTCCATATAGGTCAGTGGGGTGTGCAATAAAGAGCTCAGTATTGAATCTAACATGGATATTTTATGGGGTTAGTCTAAGGCTAAGCACCAAAATTTTAAATACATGATTTAGGGGCATGCAATTTCTGAGAAAAGCATAGTTTACACACTTAATAAGTTGTGATCTGATGGTGACTTGGGGTGCTCTAAGCACTGCAACCACTACAGAGCTCTAATGCTAACTGACACACACTGTAAGCAGTCAAACCATTTCTGAACAGTTTGACACTTACATCAAGCAATTACTTACATCAAGCAATTATTGGGATAAACATCTGTCGCTGGCATACAGGTCTATGCAGAGAACTGGCTGGTGGGGGATGGAAATTTTGCCAGCGCAACAGTTCTATTACATTTTCTAACACCTGTATACATACAGCTAAGAGCATTAGAACGCTCAATAGCTATGGAGACAGATATTGGGTTGAGCTATTCATTAGAAATTGTTTAACTCTTCCAGATTTTAAAAAGCAATAAACTGTGCCAACTTTTAAAACCCAACTACAATCCTCCATAGATAGTATAGTCCCTCAAATTCTATATAAAATGAACGCTAACAATCCAAAATATTGCTGGTGGTGTAGTGTCTATTTAGACACTACACCACCAGCAATATTTTGGATTGTTAGCGTTCATTTATACATATACGGTGGAGGAGTAGCAATTTACAAAACATAAAATAAATGGTAACCAAGATCATAGAAATTGTTTAGAAGAAGCTGGTCACTATAGATGCTCAACAGTTTCTTTTCCACCTAAACCGAATATGTCATTGCTTATAAAGATCATGACGGCTGTGAAAATCTGCTTAGCACGTTACTGGAGGGCAAATTTTTTACAGAGTAATACTGAAATTATGCAGATCAATTGCCAGTATTCTATGGAAACAGTTCAAAAAGATAAATAGGCTAAAAGAGTATGACCAAGTCTGGTTTCCCTGGGCATTATTTAGTGTTGATCTATGATTCTCTTGATGCCTACAGATATAATTTTAAAAATGTCAATCTTTCAAAATGCGGGGCGGGACTTCGGGTCTGACCAAGATGGCTGCAGAAACCAAGTGCTCCGCTCCACTAATCCCCTACAAAGCGATTGATAATTAGCCACAACCTGCAAATGGGTCACAACCGTTGCCTAGAACCCCCCAGGCCGCGGGGGGCCACAAACGAGAAAACAGCAAGAACCAATGGATGGCTTTCTGCAGTCCCAGCATGGAGCTGGTGGAGAGGCCGATAGCTCGGGGACGGTGCCGATATCCCCGGTCTCCCTGGCAGGATCAGAGAACACCACGCAGAACAGAATTGGGGAAAATCTGCAGAACATGGCAGCTTCCATGGCTACCAAGGCTGACCTCCAGATTCTCACTATCACAATGCAGGACACCCTGCAGGCGGAGATGGCGGGCATCCGGACAGAGGTAACCGCCCAAGCAGGCTGCATCAAGGCACTGGAGCACTCGGTTGAGGCCCAGTCTACCAGGATTGCGGCAACAGACAGCAGTCTCCCGACACGGTAAAATTATCCTGACTATGCTGAGACACTGGAGGACCTGGATAATATTGGCCGCTGGTGCAACGTCCAGATACGCGGCATACCGGAGGCTGAGTGATAGGAGAATGTTGAAGAGGTACTGTCGGGACTATTCCGGCTCCTGCTGCAGAATGAAGCTCCCCAGCGCTTTGAATTCGAACGGGCCCACAGAGCATTAAGACCATGCTCACTGGAGGAGGGACCCAATACGCTGCCTGCCTATGCGGACAACCTTTTTTTCCCCATTGCTAATCCTCGGACCACGATGCCCTGCCTCCTAAGAATTTGAACAATTCAGCAGAATCTCTGGTTTTAAACTCAACCTATCAAAAAGTGAAAACCAAATGAAAAAAAGTTACCTGAGCTCTTTCCCAAATCCCTATGTATATTTAAAGAAATGGAGGTTTTTAGTTACCTCCAATGGCCATGAGAGGGTATGTGTAACGGAGCTCCAGTACTCCAACCGAGTACCTCCATTGATGGATGCTCCTAGTGCTTCCTGAGGGCTCCAAGCACTCCTCCAGACACCATAAGCACTGCCGACCAAACCTCTCTTCCTTCAGAGAGTGAAGCAGCAACAAGCTCTTAAAAGAGCTTAGTGATTATAGCGAGGGGAGTATGTAGAGTATAGCAATCCCCCAGTGTAAATGCAGCCTTTCCCCCCCCCCCCCGCCCCCCCCACACGAGATGAGACTATGTTGAGGGTAAAACAGGAGCTCAGCAGTCTCAGGGTTTATTGGCACTTATATGCAACTTTTTACACAATGTTACCACCCACATGGTTTTGTGGCATAGCCAAACACGTACAATACAGTTAAACACTCCCATTCATTCCAGCAAAATCCTCCCCTCTGCCTGTGATATAATTACTGTACACAATGGGTTAACATAATTATCACAGGCAGGAAAATACACAGTTTTATACAATATTCATAACTCAAAATATCCAATCTCCATAAAAGTTACATATTATTAATCAGCATACTTCAAATACAAACATACCCAAAAATCAAACAATTCCCGCCAGTGGTTAAAAAGTTACCTGGAAGTCCTTTATGACCGACCGCAAGCATGCTTTCCTGCCCAAAACAGTTCCAGAGAATCAGGCTGTGCGGCCGGTCTATTTCCCATGTTAAAGTCAGTTCAAACAGATGAACGACAACCATTCGAATTGTCGAATGAACTGTCGAACGGCGTTCGAATTGTCGAATGCATTAGTTCCAGGGAAGGTAAAACTTCAGCGGTGTTCGTGACGTTTTGTAGTAGATTTTAGTTCCATTAATTTGACGGCACACACCACTGACCGCGTTCGACTAAATAAAGATGGCCGCCGCCATGTGTTCGACTGCACGAACGGAGGCCACCCAGCGGTCGGCAATTAGCCTGCGGTTAACCGCCAGCCTGGGAGGTAAATTAGCTGCACACTTCCACTTGTGTGGTCTGCCTGGTCGGTAATTGGTTCGGTAAGCCCCATTTACCGAACCAAATAGGAAAAAGACATGCACAAAGTAGTTTAACAGTCTGGGGACACAGTTTTAAAGGGACATTGTCACAAAAAGTCTTCATATGCCCATATACTGTTTTTAAAGGGCCATACACCCCAGGGCCATAATCACAGGGCAAGAGGCTGGCAAGTAGGCCACTCCAGGACCAAGTGGCGAAGGGCACTTCGTCACAGTATGCACACCTGCCACGTCAAGGCAGGTAATTTTCGTTGTTTTTTTTTTTTTTTACTGTATTTGGGCTGATGTGTACTATGCTCGTTGCTGCCACCCAGGAGTAATGGGAGTTTGAGTGCAGGACTTTTTTTTTGTATTTGTATCAAAATGTGAAGTGCTGAACATAACACTCCCTGCCGAGGAATATACTGCCCTGGATCCACTGTTCCCGTTCCACTGGTGCTTTGGCAAAATTAAGTATCATGGAATTTGGGTAACCTCAGAGCCGCGAGACATTTACCAACATCACTTCATTCCCCTGCTGAAGATGCTGCTGGCAGACCTAGACAAATGGGCATACCCACGTGTGGGCGAATAGCAGTGATCAAAATGAATATACTCTCACAGGTCCTTTATCTCCTTCAGACCATCCCGCTGGCTTTACCAGTATCCTTTTTCTACTCCTTAAAATCAGGGGTCATTCGATACGTGTGGCATGGGGAAGATTAAGACTACGACACGACTTACTCTGTCTACCTAGAGACAATGGTGGCCTGGCGTTGCCCAACTTTAAAAAGTACCATCAGGCCGCGGTCATGCAGGAGGTTTCTGGAGAGTTGGAGTGCAGGGACGGAGCAGGACCAGAGCAGCTGGAGGTCGATGAGGGAACAACCACACGTCTTGCCCATGCCTAGTCCTTTACTCACAATAGCATATTGGGAGGGGGACGCCCACCGAGAGCCTGGCCCTTCTTGTGGGATGGGAATACATCCCCATCCATAGTGCCTTACACGATGGGGCGATACATAGCCTGGACTTGCTGTTGGAGGGTAGATCACAAACTCCTCTGGCCCCCCTCCGATACATGCAACTGAAGCATTACTATCATTCACGTCCTCAAAAAGACCGGTTACACAGAGAACTAATCTGGTTTGAATGTATCTGTGATTAGGGTACCACACTTGATAGGGCAGTTTTCACACTCTACCAGGATCTCTTAGTCGGGCACCAGACAACGAACAGCACCTTTTCCAAGCAATGGGAAGAACTCTCGGGCACAACCTTTTCCACTAAACAATGGGACAAAGCTTTGACATGGCAACATAAGAGCTCCATTCGTTCGCATTAACAGATGAAATATGAACTAATCTCTCTGTGGTATAAAACACAGGCCCTACTCCATAGAATCTTCCCGACGATCCCTGCAACATGCTGGAGATGCCAAGTGGAGAGGGGGATACATCTGGTGGGAATGTTGTGACATTTTCCCATTTTGGGAGATGGTTAGGGATAAAGTGACAGATTTTGGGGGGCATGACCGATTGGTCGGCTGAACTGGCACTTCTGCATATTTCATCACAACCTGTATCACTATACAAGAAATCAATTCTACAACACATCCCCGGCGAGGACATTCAGGGAGCAGAGGCGTTTCATGCCTGTCTGACAGGGAGTAAACACGCAGAGGCATGGCTGCCGTGGATCACAATGTTCTTGCAATGTTCTGATTCCTCAGCTATGTCTATTGTAACCGATAATATAATAGCTGAGCTGACTAGCATTGGAATGTTTACCAAAGAATTTGTAAGCACGTATTCATCAAACTAAATGATGAGGCCTGCATGCTTACTCTCCTCCCTTTGTACTCATTTAAGTTTTATTCTTCTGCAAAACTATTCTACAAATAAAGATTCTCAAAAAAAAAAAAAAAAATCTTTCAACATGCATTCCCAATCATATTTAAAGGTTTGATATTTTTCTCCCATGTCTTAACGAATGTTTTTATCAGTAACTGATATGGACTACAGTTGTCAAATGGACTACAGCTGTCATGAAGCCACATGCCAAAGTTCAACCTTCACTAGTTTATGACTTTCCAAGTTTGCAAGAAACATTGTACCTGAATAATAAGCACGTAAAACACAGTGGGCAGAGCTCAGTATCTACATTTCAATGTTTCATAAAGGCTTTCAGCTCTCAAGCTGGTCATAGCAGTAGCACTGCATGTTACATTGCACTAATTGCCAGAGGTCTGTGTAGGTTGCAGGTCAATGCAACACACTAGTCTCCAAGCCTTCTGCCAATGGGAATAGATGTAGGAAGTGAAATCTGAGAAATATGGTCCACTTTCTTGCTCTAAGGTGAACCTATATAGTAGGAAGAATATATAGACAGAAACATGGTGCTAGGGCTTCACGACCTGCACAGAGCAAGGTGACTTAAAGAAGTGTTCTTCTTCACACATGGAACTTCTGTTCACAGCACAATGGTCTTTGCAGTAATGCCGCCAGCAGTACCTTGGTGAAGGGGCACACAGTGGTGCTGAGAGTTCACCAGAAGCCAAAAGTCTATGCTGCTTGCCATTCTGATTTCAGCTTTTTTATGACTATTCTTTTTTCCGTATACTTTGGCTTGTCATATCACACCTGGTCTCATTCAGTATCCCTGACTTCTTCTAGTCTTATTACTATTCTATATGGCACTAAGGCCGGTAATAGGGATCGACCGACATTGTTTTTTTAGAGCCGATACCGATAATCGGTGGATTTTTAGGCCGATAGCCGATAACTTACCGATATTCTGAACATTTACCATTTTGAAAAAATAAACTATTTCTAAAGGTAAATGCACAAAATATGCATGCCAAATGTAATGGATGCAGTGTGTTTAGACAGGGGAGCTGTGTGTATGTGTGTGTATATAGTGAATGCAGAGTGTGTATATAGTGAATGCAGAGTGTGTGTATAGTGAATGCAGAGTGTGTATATAGTGAATGCAGAGTGTGTATATAGTGAATGCAGAGTGTGTGTGTGTAGTGTGTGTATATAGTGAATGCAGAGTGTGTGTGTGTGTAGTGTGTATATAGTGAATGCAGAGTGTGTGTGTGTGTGTAGTGTGTATATAGTGAATGCAGAGTGTGTGTGTGTGTGTAGTGTGTATATAGTGAATGCAGAGTGTGTGTGTGTGAGTGTGTATATAGTGAATGCAGAGTGTATATAGTGAATGCAGAGTGTATATAGTGAATGCAGAGTGTGTGTGTGTGTGTGTAGTGTGTATATAGTGAATGCAGTGTGTGTGTGTATATAATGCAGAATGTGTATATAATGAATGCAGTGTGTGTATATAATGAATGCAGACTGTGTTTGTGTAGTGTGTGTATAGTGAATCCATGCTGTGTGTTTGTGTAGTGTGTGTATAATGAATGCAGAGTGTGTGTATGTGTTTGTGTAGTGTGTACATAATGCAGAATGTGTGTGCATAATGAATGCAGTGTGTGTAGGTTTGTGAAGGGATGTAATTTGTGTAAAATGGGCGGGAGGGGAGGCATTTTTTATTTTAATAATGTTTTTATTTATTTATTTATTTTAGTCCCCCCTCTCTGCTTGTTACTTGGCCAAGGAGGGGGGATATAGCATGTACCTTCCCAGCAGCTCCCTTCATGTCTCTGTGTAAATCTTGCAGCCTGCGTACCGCGCGGAGCGTTGCCATGGTAACCCGTGGCAATGCTGACAGCCGCAGGACTCGCAAGATTTACACAGGGAGCTGCTGGGTATGTAAGTAACCGCTTGCTGCAGGCCCCCCTAAGACCGCCTTGTAATAGGCCCGGAGGACCTGGTATGTATTATCAGCAATATCGGTATTGGCCTATCGATACTGCCAAAAATACCAAATATCGGCAAAACCGATAATACGCTTAATTATTAAGTTTAGTTTAGCTGTTTACTTAGGTACTGCATGTTGGGACTTTGTGCATCCTAACACACCCATGATGAGCAAAATATGTGACAGCTGGGCTCTAACTTTGGGCGTCTTTATCATATGTGCTACCTGTTGCTCCCACTATATACTATATACTAACTCTTGGTTGACTCACTTTTCTAACACCGACAGCTAAATACTGGGTGTTCTTTTTATACAGTACAACAGCAGATGTGCATGCTTTTTAAATAAAGTTCTACACTGCCAAAGAATCACACATCATCATGAAAGAAAGGTAGATTTGGTAACAAGCTGCCATACGGAATGGTTTGGTAATTATCACTAATTTAGAACATTAACAGGACATGGGAGTCTGCGGTAATTGAGGAGACATTTTCAAAAAACTAAGGAACTGCTCAAGGAGAAAAAAAAAAAAAAAGTTTGAATATTGAAACTCATTCTTAAGCAAAAGTACAAAACCAAAAATGCAGGTCCCCTCTCCCTCCCATCCCCCATCTCATGTTGCTGAAGGGGTTAAAACCCCTTCAGTGACTTACCTGTATCCAGCGCCAATGTCCCTCGGCGCTGGGTCAGGGTCCGCCCATGCTCCTCCCCCACTGACGTCATCCGGCAGGGGAGACCTTTTTATACAGTACAACAGCAGATGTGCATGCTTTTTAAATAAAGTTCTACACTGCCAAAGAATCACACATCATCATGAAAGAAAGGTAGATTTGGTAACAAGCTGCCATACGGAATGGTTTGGTAATTATCACTAATTTAGACCGCCGGCACTAGACCTTCCCATAGGAAAGCATTGAAGAATGCTTTCAATGCTTTCCTATGGGGATTTCAGCGATGCTGGAGGTCCTCACATAGCGTTAGAACATCCAGCGACGTTATAGTACAGTTTTCATGTGCTATAATCACGGAAGTGACCTCTAGTGGGTGTCTAGTAGACAGCCACTAGAGGAGGAGTTAACCCTGCAAGGTAATTATTGCAGTTTATGAAAACTGCAATAATTACACATGCAGGGTTAAGGGTAGTGGGAGTTGGCACCCAGACCACTCCAATGGGCAGAAGTGGTCTGGGTGCCTGGAGTGTCCCTTTAATACATAAACACATATATACTTTATTTTTTAAAATAAGGTGTGCTTTCAATTACCCCACTCCCCTCTATTTCAGATCTAAAAGCTATTATTAAACTAACCTATTGTAGCACAAAGTCTCCTCACTGCTTTACCGATCCACCCAATGGGAATTCATCAATTCTCATGACTTGAGCCCAATTAGAAGTTTTATAGTAGAGATGCATTGTGACACCAAGTGCATGCAGGCAAATGCCACAATTTGCCTACTACTCTTTACTAAGAGAAGCGCTGACAATTCTCTTTAAGTACTCACTTGCATATTTAACTACAGTTCAAAGTGAGTCAGGCAAGAAACTCTCCCAGCTGTCTGCTTGACAGCTAGAATGTGTTACTAATAGGATTTATGAAAAAAAAAAAAAGTGACAATTTCTTTTGACATCTGCACCTTTATGAAATAAGCCAGAGGGACAATATTGATTGATTAAAAAACATCTTATAAAATAAAAACACTCCAAGCACCATTAAAGGGATACTATAGACATCTTTAACACAAAATTGCTCTCCCATGTAATTTATGCACTTTATTGGAAGAATTTGACTGGGTATCAGAAGAGGTCTTGTTGCCACCAAAAGGCACAGAGATCTTTATGTTCAGAGCCATATCGTACAATAGGCTCATAAAATTGTAAGCATATAATCTCTATTCTATCACTTTTCAGATAAAGCTCAAGCTAGGGGGGCTTTGCATTACTAACACTATAGAATCCCTTCAATCATGCAGATATGGTGTATAGATCACGCCATACAGTCTCAGTGATCAATTCTCTGCCATTTAGGAGTTAAATCACTTTTGTTTCTGTTTATGCAGCCCTAGCCACCCCTGCCCTGGCTGTGACTCTCACAGCCTGCATGAAAAAGAAAAAAAAAAGGGTTTCATTTTCAGATGTTAACTTGCGTTAGAAGTTCTTATGTCTTGCGCTGTAAGTTTTCTGCAGGCTCTACAAGGTCATTAATTGAGTAGTGGATACGAAATAGATTAAACCCAGGCTGTGCAATAAAGGAACCTAGAATATATCTTTCTTTTCAGGAAGTGTTTAGGCAGGCTGTGCAAGTCACATGCAGGGAGGTGTGACTAGGGCTGTATAAACAAAGTGATTTATCTCCTTATTGGCAGAGAATTGAGTAGTGAAACTACAAGGGCATGAACTATACACCAAAACTGCTTCATTAAATCTATAGTTGTTTTTGTGCCCTCCGAAGTTGGAAGTGCTAGGAGCTTGCATTAGCGCCACTAAGCTAAGACGTGCTATGCAGGGCTAGCTCAGTGTGCTCTCAGACCATGAGCCAAGCCCTACACTGCCAGCTAGTTCAGTGCAGAGAGCTTCCAGTTGTACAAGAGGAGGGGGTCGGTGCACCGTCTGGGCTTTAATGCTCTTCGCTCTTTCAAAGTGTTGGTCAGAACCTCTGCTGAAGTCAATGAGCTTAAGTTACTGAGCTAGGCCCTATCAGACAGCTTATTGCCTGAGAGAATGAGTTGAGCATGAGCACCAATGATCCTAGGCATGCCCTGTCAGGCTTAGCTGAATGCAGGAAGCATCTAGCAGAAGAACATGAGGTAACAGGCAGCCAGTGGCCCCCATGTAAGTTGTCAAACTATCTGCAAATGTACCATAGCCACTAGAGCAGGCTGCAGTAGTTACAGTGCTTAGAGCCTGCCTTAAATAATAAAATATATAAAATCAGTGGCTTATGTTACTTTATATAACACACAAGGAGGGTTTACTCAAACTCCACAATGTGCCAAAATGAAAATAGAAAACCAAACGGCAGAAATGTATAGCAATAGCCAAGATATAAAATCAGTGGAAGTTAGCGTTTCATGGTAATTTTAGAAATATTTACACAATGCACACAGCACAGTTGTGAGCACGGATCCCTCCCCTCAAAATATGAACAAGTTCTCCATTCCAAGTACGAGCTATACAAATGCACAGAGAGATGGTATTACATCATTGATACACATTCAACCAGCATACGAAGTGTATACTGTATAAAAACTATACCATCACACCACCCAACCTCCCGCCTCCTGCCAAAACCACAACTTTAGATCAAACTAGCAAAACTAAGGAATTTAACTAAAATATTAAAAACACAAGTTTTCAATTTAGAATTTAGCGACTGGCAAAAAGATTCCACTGGGACAAATGGAAGACCACAATCCACACGAATGGATCAGAGTTCATACACCCAGGTCTCAATCTCAAAACAAAAACTATATAAAACAAGTAGAAACAGCAGCACCATGAGCTCTGCTACAGTGAATCTCACTACAGATGACTGACTCATTCAGGTGCAATTTTGTTGAACTATACATTGAGACAACTGACAGCAATTCTGGTCTAAATGAATCCATCAAAACACCAGTAGAAATGATTACTATTTTCCAACCATTTCTGGGTCATATATGCCAGACTAACACTTTTCAATCTACAATTCAACCTCTAAGTGACTTTTCCTCTTACCTCTATTACTAGCCAAGCCATGTTGCTGACTGCCCAAAATGGCCCCTTGTATAAGCGCATGGTGTACTAGGGATTTAACCAAATTTGGAAGAAAAAAATTAAACACTATCAGCCGCATATCCCTGGGAAACAAAATCTACAAACCCACTTCTTTCTATGAACCAGAAAGAGGTACATCTTAAGAACTCATAAAATAGTTACACAACCACAGCATAAACGAGCAGGAATGTAATTAAACAAAGCCAATCTTACTATCAATGGAAAACCCAATTACAATTTGAGAATGAAACATTAAAGGACCACTCTAGGCACCCAGACCACTTCAGCTTAATGAAGTGGTCTGGGTGCCAGGTCCTTCTAGGGTTAACCCATTTTTTTTATAAACATAGCAGTTTCAGAGAAACTGCTATGTTTATGAATAGGTTAAGCCTTCCCTCTAATCCTCTAGTGGCTGTCTCATTGACAGCCACTAGAGGCGCTTGCGTGCTTCTCACTGTGATTTTCAGAGTGAGAGCACGCAAGCGTCCATAGGAAAGCACTGTAAATGCTTTCCTATGCAACGGGCTGAATGCGCGCGCAGCTCTTGCCACGCGTGCGCATTCAGCCCAGGAGGAGGAGAGGAGGCAGAGAGCTCCCCACCCAGCGCTGGAAAAAGGTAAGTTTCAACCCCTTTCCCCCTTCCAGAGCCGGGCGGGAGGGGGTCCCTGAGGGTGGGGGCACCCTCAGGGCACTATAGTGCCAGGAAAACGAGTATGTTTTCCTGGCACTATAGTGGTCCTTTAAGTTGATATTTACCAAAGTGTTCAGTAAAGCATATTCATATTTAATAAATCTCCTGCAATAACAAGAAGCTGTCAAAAACTGTAAGATGATGTCAGAGTGCTGCTGTGTGTAGGCCCATCGCGGCGTGCTAGGCGTCAGGGCGCAGCGAGGTCGCGGCGTGCTAGGCGGCAGCGCGGTCGCGGCGTACAGCTATCAGGGAGAGGTTGCACTAGTGTCAGCACAAGTTTGTTTCCGTGTGTGCGCGCTTCTGTCAGTGAAAGGTTACATCAGCATTTTAGAGTGTAGTTCTTTCTTTGTGTAAGGCTGGGTTAGTCAGGGAGAGGTTGTATCAGTGTTTAATTGTGTCACTCTGCAGTTTTGTCGGGCTCTTAATTTTTTGCATCAGACTCATTGTGTGTAGTTGTGTCAGTATGTAGTTGTCACAGTGTCAGTGTGTGTATTTGTGTATAGTTAGTTGTGCATCAGTGTATAAGTGTGTCAGTGTATAGTTAGTTGTGCATCAGTGTATAGTTGTGTCAGTGTGTGTAGTGTCACAGTGTGTCAGTGTATCACAATGTAGTTGTGTCAGTGTGTGTAGTGTCACAGTGTGTCAGTGTATCACAATGTAGTTGTGTCAGTGTGTGTAGTGTCACAGTGTGTCAGTGTATCACAATGTAGTTGTGTCAGTGTGTGTAGTGTCACAGTGTGTCAGTGTATCACAATGTAGTTGTGTCAGTGTGTGTAGTGTCACAGTGTGTCAGTGTATCACAGTGTAGTTGTGTCAGTGTGTGTAGTGTCACAGTGTGTCAGTGTATCACAGTGTATTTGTATCACAGTCAGTGTGTGTAGTTGTATCACAGGGTATCAGTGTGTGTGTGTCACATTGTGTGTGTGTGTGTGTCAGTGTGCATTTGTGTCACATTGAGTGTGTGTAGTTGTATCACAGGGTATCAGTGTGTGTGTCACATCGTGTGTGCGTCGGTGTGCATTTGTGTCACATCGTGTGTGCGTCGGTGTGCATTTGTGTCACATCGTGTGTGCGTCGGTGTGCATTTGTGTCACATCGTGTGTGTCGGTGTGCATTTGTGTCACATCGTGTGTGTCGGTGTGCATTTGTGTCACATCGTGTGTGTCGGTGTGCATTTGAGTCACATCGTGTGTGTCGGTGTGCATTTCATCACTGTGTGTGTGTCAGTGTGTATTTGAATCACTGTGTGTGTCAGTGTGTGTATTTGTGTCACATTGTGTCCCCTCTCCCCCTGGCCCCCATGATATCTCACCCCTTCATGCCTGCAGAGCTGTGTGTCAGTGTGTGTATTTGTGTCACATCACTGTGTGTGTCACAGTGTGTGTATTTGAATCACTGTGTGTGTCAGTGTGTGTATTTGTGTCACATTGTGTCCCCTCTCCCCCTGGCCCCCATATCTCACCCCTTCATGCCTGCAGAGCTGTGTGTCAGTGTGTGTATTTGTGTCACAGTGCGTGTGTCACAGTGTGTGTATTTGTGTCACAGTGTGTGTATTTGTGTCACAGTGTGTGTATTTGTGTCACAGTGTGTCCCCTCTCCAGAGATGTGTGTCAGTGTGTATTTGTGTCACAGTGTACCCCCCTGGCCCCTGCCCCCCCATTATATCTCACCCCCCGAATTACATCTCACCCCTTCATGCCGGCAGAGCGGTGTGTCAGTGTGTGTCACAGTGTCTCTCTCCCCCCATTATATCTCCCCCGGCCCCCCGGATTATATCTCACCCCTTCATGCCGGCAGAACTGTGTGTCACAGTGTACCCCCCTGCCCCCCATATCTCACCCCTTCATGCCGGGCAGAGCGGTGTGTCAGTGTGTATTTGTGTCACAGTGTACCCCCCTGCCTCCCCCCCCCCGGCCCCCCATATCTCACCCCTTCATGCCGGCAGAGCGGTGTGTCAGTGTGTATTTGTGTCACAGTGTACCCCCCTGCCTCCCCCCCCCCGGCCCCCCATATCTCACCCCTTCATGCCGGCAGAGCGGTGTGTCCCCTGGGGGCCCCGGTGCTGTCAGACTCGCAGTGTAGGGGGGGGGGGTCTCGGTTCTGCCCCCAAGCCGGGCAGATAATACCCCCCACCGTGTGCTATCTCCGGCTCCAGCCAGCGACACGTGACCTGCCCGCGCTCCTCACAGCCGCACACTGTCTGCCAATGGCGCCAAGGCCCCCGAGCCGGGAGAACGGACTGCGCCTGCGCAGAACACCGCCTGCCAATCACCGCGGGAGACGGAAACAGCGCTCTGCGCATGCGCCCAAAGCGAGGAAGTGGAATCTACACATGCGCTGTACTGCACCGCGGGGACTGGGCGTCTCGAGAGCCTACATGTGCGCATGCGCACCTCACCTGTCACGGTCTCTGTCAGCCACCTGGGGGAGCTCCAAACACCTGAGACCGTGCGGCGACTGAGTGAACGTGGGCTCTGAGCTCTAAACACCAGAGACCGTGCGGCCTCTACCTGTGCTCACTGAGCAATGGATAATAGTGACATTGTATTCATTTCAGCTGGTTACAGTATAACCTGTGCAATTACCAGGGCTTTATCATTCACATTGTACAGCGCTACGGAACGTGATGGCGCTATATATAAATAATAAAATAATAATAATAATTTAAAGGTTAAATAGTAAAACTGACTCCCAGACAGGCACTGGGGGCGCTCCCGGAATCCAAACCCACCCTCGGTCCGGTACCTGGCGCTCGACGTCCTCACGCTCTGCGTCAGGTTTACCCCCATAGGAAAGCATTGATTAAAATTTACCTATGGGAAAATGCGAGCATGGCCATTGCTGAGCATGCGCAATAGGTCTCCACCGCAGGTGGCGGAGCATGGGCGGAGCCTGACCCAGTGCCGCGGAGCCTAAGTGACTGAAAGGGTATTAACCACATGAGCGCCGCGGGAGGAGGGCACAGTAGGCTTTGTTTTCCTGGAACTATAGGATCCCTTTAAATCCAAAATTCACTTTAAATTCTCACTTTAGTGTATAACCATGTGACTATTTACAGCCCTGTACTTTGCAGCAGCATCTCCTACGTGCGTTGCAACCGCAGATCGTACAGCTGATACCGGAGAAACTGACGGAAGCAAAGCACAGAGGGATGGACACAGGTTTCTTCAGGAAGGAAGAGATTCTTTATTGGATCACCGATCGGGACTCAGAGGGACTAATGTCACCAAAAATACAGCAAGTTCTGAGCCCTGAACAATAGTGCAGGCTTCCTATATAGGCACATAACTCCTCCCATATTAAGCTCCACCCGCACATTCTCTTGACCAATCATTACAAATAAGAATTAACTTCCTGCTTGACCCACATGGCTTGTCCAGCACAATGGAGGAGGGGAATACTACATCCTGTATTCTTGCACATGCTCCGTACACTACTGATCGTATCTTGCCTCGTGCAACCAACTGATCGATACGTCAGCATATGCACGTACACATGCCATGTGGTAATCTCGGCCTACTACATTTATTTTTACCGAGATTCCACCACATTCCCCCCTTTGATGCCTCTTGATATTTTACAATTACTTGAGGCATCACTTAACCTTGGTTTACATACACCACAAGTTACCTTTGAACCAGACCAGACTTATCCTATGATGTGAATCTTCAACACTCATTTTCCTGCATTAGTTCTCCCTGATCTAGAGCCTTATATTTATAAATTGCCATTATCTGTGCAGCAGCCTTCCTCTCTGCTATATTTTCTATCAGGCTTTGCACAGACCTAACTACTAAGGGTATAAGACACGGCAGGAGTAGACAACATTAAAATCAGTAGGACTCCACCTACCACTGCCTTAAGCCCTCCAAACCACTCATACCAGCTACCAAACCAACTACTTGGATTGTACCCTTTCCATACCTGAGTAGGCACATGCGCTAGTTTAACCATATGGCTAGTAAGCTCAGCTATTGCTTGCTCTTCGTCATCTATTTGAAGACAGCAATTGCTCAGGTTAAACTTCCCACATACACCTCCCTCTACTGCCAAAAGATAATCCAAGGCTAATCTATTTTGGTAAACTGCTGTCCTCATCTTGGTATTATGCTTCGCTAGAAGATTGAGCGCTTGTGATGTCTCGTTAGTAATGATCTCAACCACCGCCTGTAACCTTATAATGCGGTTGAGCATATAAATAGGGGTTCTATAACCAAAGGTACCATCCTCTGCCCACGTGGCTGGCCCAGAATAATCTATAATACGCTGGGGAGGCCATTCATTATCTTCCCAGGCACCTATCTCTATGGGTCCCCTTTTCTTCCTATGATTCACATCATACACTTTAACACCTAAAGTCCCACCTGTTTCAATAGGCAACAAGAAGAAGGATGGTTTTAACATACCCAACACACATGCCCCTTCCCAGTCCTGTGGTAACTCCGAATAGGCCTTCTTACCACAGATTCAGTACAAATTCGCTGGGGCTCTCCAGTTAGATGTGATGGATAGATCAAACCATACGTCCTTTAAATTGGCATATCTTGCAAACGGGTTAGATGGTTCTGAGACATTTGAAGCCGACCACCAAGTTGTATTCTTTGTATCATCATCATAAGCTTTTTGCCCTAGACAAGTTAATTCTCCTACAGAAGCATTATACATCATTCCTTTCCTCGCTATGCAAACATAACCTATGATGGAGGTCTTCAATCTCCACTCAGATTTACCTCTAACACTCATATGATAGTCGGCTTGTATAGATATTAATTGGTCAACTGCCTTAGAACCGGACATTACCTCCTTTGCTTCCCAAGGCCATTGGTCTCCCATGTTAGTACCTCCACACACATAGCAGTTGGTAACATTAAGACTACCGGCAATACTCTCGGCTGAATCAATGAACAAGTTTTTAGCATTATGGGGGATCTTATTATCTATGCTCATCTCTTCATAAAAGGAATGGTATACTTGATGAGTTTGGGAGGTTACCATATCAGTCTCTATCCCTATAAACAATATTGTCCCAGGGTCTAAACCCGTCCCATATATTTGAAACCCAAATAAATTACCATATTTATCTAAGAACTTGTCAGGGTTATTTATAAGTATATGGATTGGATTGCATTCCATAGACTTACAATATGGATCAGTAGGCAACTTAGTCACAATCATGCCCTTGTCTGCTGTCTGTCCCCAAGTCGCCCACCCCACACAAGACCAATATGGGCAGAAGTTATAATCTCTATTTGGGCATCTTGGACTTACATATTTATTTTTACTACTGGGACAAATATATTTATCGTTAGACCCATACGCCCTCTCCCATCTAAGATCCCCACATACATTCCACGGCTTTCTACCACTTGATATTGCTTTACACGCATCAAATAGCAGAGCACCTGAAGAATATACGGATTCTAATACCGTCTTATTAATTAGGGTTCCCTGAGGATCTCCATTTCTGAGAGCCAACCAAATTGTACGGGGTTGATACTCAGGACTGAAGCACTTAGGTTCTCCTACTCCTAAATGACACACACTATATTCTATATTTAAGTATCTACATCTTGATACATCTCCTTACACTCATATTGCGAATGCCAAATTAGGGTCTGGGATATATGGTTACCTGTTCTTGTAGTCTTAATGCATACCTCACAGCTAGGAGTGTTGGTACCTCTACCTTCCTGAATATAAAAATACACATAAATAAACATTATTAAAAATACATCTTTCGTCGTCATCCTCAGTCTTCGTCCGTGCGAAGGCACTTCAGCTTCCAGGATGTAAGGGCTGCAGGGAATGGAGTTCTGCTCGTCTTCACAGGGGTCCCCTCAAGACTTTCCCTGACTTATACACTCGTTGGTGAGTGGACAGGCTTTATTATGGCCTTCTCACCCACTTACCAAGTCTCTGAAACAATAAAATTTGTAATCTACAAGGTTCCTCGTCACTCCGACTGAGTCGTGCGTTTTAACCGGATCTTGCAGGGATTCTCTTGATTTGCTGTAACTTGCCAGGAATCGGCTGCTGCTGGTTTAACCCTGGAGTGATGTATCCACGGAGCCACTTCGGCTACTTTTATCGCTGTAGGGGTAGACAGAAGAACAACATAAGGACCTCTCCACTTGGGCCCTAATGGCACATTATTCCACTCTTTAATCCACACTTGGTCGCCTGGGTGGTAACTATGAATTGGGGGATAAATATTCACAGGTAATCTATCTTGTACCCATTTCTGTACCTCCTCCATAGTCTTACCCAACCCTACAACCTGCTGCCGGGTAATTCCTTCTCCCAACTGACTCAAATCCCCCCTTAAGTTACCAAGCACGGGAGGTGGTCGCCCGTACATGATTTCAAAGGAGAGAGGCCCATCCTTCTGGTAGGTGTACTACGGATTCGCAATAGAGCTATGGGCAAGAGAACGTTCCACTTAAGTTGGGTTTCCTGACACATTTTAGCCAACTGATCCTTAATAGTTCTATTCATTCTCTCTACCTTACCAGAACTCTGGGGTCTATATGCCGTATGAAGCCTCCACTTTATACCAAGCATATGAGTCAATTGTTGTAGGCACTGATGAACAAAGCTGGACCATTGTCCGATCCTATAGAGCAGGGTAGTCCATATCGGGGTATTATTTCTCGTAGCAGGAATCTCACGACTTCTCCTGCTTTCTCTGTACGAGTAGGACATGCTTCTACTCAGCCTGAATAGGTGCACACCACTACCAGCAGGTAGCGATGTCCACCCGATTTAGGCATCACTGTATAGTCAATTTGTAAATCGGACATGGGAAGTCCCCCCATAAACTGGACTCCTGGTGGCTTTATTGGTCCTTGTCTTGCATTATTTTTAGCACACGTTACACATCTACGTACAATGGCCTGAGTCAAGTTGGACAATCTTGGTATGTAGAAATGTTTTCTGAGAGATTCTTCTGTACTGTCTCTCCCAGAATGTGTCCCGCTATGATAGTTTTGGACAATTTCTACCGCTAGTGATGCTGGAATAACTATTCTTCCATCTTCTAACTGATACCATTTGTTCTCCAAATACTTTCCAGGTTCAGTCCTTAACCACTCCTCTGCTTGAGCTGTATAAATTGGAGTCCATTGAGACAGTGGAGTTGGTATAAGAGCAGCTATATGCCCCACATATTCCTGTCTTCCTGATTCAGCAGCACGCTTAGCTGCACTATCTGCCATCCCATTCCCTTTGGTTACATCACCATCTCCTCTCAGATGCGCCCGACAATGTATAATACCGACTTCTTTCGGCTCCCACACTGCTTCCAAT